TTTTTGAAACTTAATATGAAATTTAAAAATCTGGTCCAAAATCCTGCTCCATGGCCATAATTATTCCCACCGATGCCACTCTCCAAAACAACATCTTTCATCAGGCATTGCTCCAAGGAAAGAGTTTTGAGATGCCACAGATAAGGATGCACATTAACCATCTATGAAATAGTACAGGGATTTTTTCCCCTCTTTTACCCTTTTACTTGCTGTGGAAATTTGTCTTGGAGGTCATTCACAGTCCAACCAGATAAAAGGATGTAAGTTATTAAATAAAACATAATTAAATAGTGAGATGCAATTCATTTAAACAGCAAAAGATTATTACGTTTTTCTTCTCAGTGACAAGTGAGTCAACATTTACACTTTTGATTTAGCCTTGGGACTATTATTCAGTGGCATTACTTGAGGAAAGCCACATATTTCTTCTTGACTACGGGCTTTAGGCCTCACTAATTCTTATGTCAACAGGAAGCAAAGATGAAATGCAGGTTTTGCCTTAGGGGAGAGGACAGGATCCTGTTGTCTTGTAATAGTTGCACACAAGCTCACATTTAGGTAAGTGCAAATGATCCTGTCATGGCATGAGAAAACAACTCTATGCGGTTGTTTCATCCATATCACCACTTCCCTTTGAATTAGGTTCTCTCTGACCAGTTCATACAAACCACAAATTGACAACCACATCTCAGTCTACAGGAATGTACTGTAACTGAAAGGCAGAGCTAGGTCTGTTGACATGCAGCAGACTCCAAAGTCTATATTGAGGTAATTCATTACATCATCCCACTGCAGTTTCAAAATGGGTTATCTAATTTCTACCCATATTTGGATGGGGAAGAGTAGGATATCTAGGTGACAGTTTATGTGATTCCCTAAGATGCAATTGTAATATGCTGAACTGATATGAGAAGACATTGTATAATTATACCTAGGATTTGGAGGTTTCTAGGAGTATGCAACTTTAACCTGAATATAGAGTTGCAGCTATGAGTACCTGGATCAATCTGTTCCTATGAGAATGAACTGTTCCTATGAGAATAAATTTGCATAGGATACCACACACCTGAACAATTCAGGGTGTGTGTAGCAGTATGTGTGTGTTCGCCTGCCTGACATAATATTAGACCACTCTACTGGTAATACTAGTGTAGCTACTTTCTAGTAGTAAAACATTGCATCTCTCAAGTCAATGCATCTGCCCTTCCATGTTTTAATAGATAAAATTGCAGTTTGATATCAGATATATATGTACATAACACAAGTCTAAGTTAGGGTCAGGCCCTGAGATCTTTCAAACTGGAAGGTTCCTAAATGCAGTATTGAAAACAGCTGGGAAGGGGTGCCAAAAATAGGGCACCATTGTTCTCCATACTGTCTGGAGGGCTCATCATAGCATAGACTTGGTCTCAAAGCTATTTCATATATTGAATTGATTTCTCACAAAACTGAAACCTGATTCTGTCTGTGTCCATTACAGACTATGTACAATACAGGATCAGCTTCATAAAATATAGGTAAGACATATTTGCCTACACCAATGCCATTGTTTAGATGATTTTGAGCTGAAACTTCCAGCATTCATTCCATATCTATGCTAGTTTGGCCTGCTGGGATTGGGAGCTCAACAGCATTTGGAGGGTTGTATAATTACCACCATAGTTTATGAGGGAGGTTTTTTAAATATGCCAAACCTTCCACTTTTATAGGCATATGCTTCAACTCAAGAGAATGAAGTTAGACTTAACTCCAGTGCAGTGTTGAAAAAATCTCAGGCAGGTTTAGGTGTGACCTTCCAGCACCTAGAATACCTGAGATTCCTGTGCAGAGTTAGTGCCAAGATCATTTTTGAGCCCTGTTAATGAGGTGCTTAGAAAATGTGAGAGAAGTTGCATGTAGCTTGTAGACTTGATCTGTTTCTGGAACTCTTTTAAGTCCTCCAAATAAGCAGGATGGAGCTTCCTAGCGACATTTTCAACAAGTATGTGGCCTAAGCCTTGCCTAGGAAGAATGGAGCAAGTAAAATGTTGAAAGAGAACCAGATGATTCTGCAACAGAATTGCTGCAGGTATTGAAATGAGATTTGTTGCAAAAGACCCAGAAGTAAGGGAAACCATAGAAATACTCATAATACTCTCATCAGTTATAGGAAAGGGTGGAATGAATTTTGGATCACTATATATTTTCTGGATTAGAATGACAAATACTTATATATGGTCTTGCCAAATATAGCAGGGAACTTTGTTTACCAGAATTAGAACTGGCCTTGGCAATTCCTGTTGCTCCTGTTTAACATTTCAGTATGTTTCAGGATGTACGTGACATTCCCATTGAACGTGTACATTTATGAACAATATCTGAGGGCTTTGTTTGGACTCTTCCACCTTTGGTAGTGAGAAAGGTGAGCTAGGAATGACAGCTTTTTCTGTTGAGGAATTTAAAATGCTTGTTTAATGCCAAGGCTGTCTTGTCTGTGCAAGTTGCAAATCTTTTATTCCCCAAACCTAGTCTTTTTTAATCAAGCTTGTGCTCTTTCTGCTTCTGTTGTATTGTGTCTACTGCTTTTTTTTTTTTTTGTGAAGCACCATGTTCATTAATGGAACTATAAAATTTTCTTCTTGTTGCTATTGGGCAACTCCAAGTTGTTTTCAAGTTATGGTGACCCTATTACATGTTTTTCTGGGGCTAAGAATGTGTAACTTGTTTGGCTTCCATGGCCAAGCAAGGAATCGAACCTTCATCTCCAAAGACATAGTCCAATACTAAAACCACTACACTGTGCTGACTCTTATGCTGTATAAGTAAATACTACTACTACTGCTACTACTACTACTAGTACTACTACAATACTGTTTTTAATGGTTTTGTGCACACTGATGGTATGATTCTGTGGTCACCTTCCACTGAAACATTTATCTACTGTAGGTCCTCCAATATGGTTCTGTGGTCAACTTGGTGGAAGCTGACCATAGAGTCATGTTAGAAGAACTAGAGGTTGTTAGAGAAGTGTTAAAAAGTTTTTTTTTCTAATTTGCATTGACCCACTTTTCTGGGCTTCTGTGCCCTAACCCTAGTGGATATGGAGACCTGACAGTAATTCCTTCTCAGTTGTTCTAGGGATGCTTTAGGAGTTAAGAGAAAGGTACAAAACATTTTAAATTGGGGAAAATAATGCAACACTGGAGACCTTGCTGAACTGTGACTCTTTATATGACTCACAATTGCCTATGCTGGCTAAGTTTTCTGGGAATTGCAGACCAACAAGTTTGGAGGGCCATACCTGTCCCACACTCTCCTTAATACTTATTGTGCAGTAATGGCAATATTTCATTAAAAGGTACATGTAGAAACAGAGATATACAATTAAGCACACAGAGTTGAAGATTCCTGGCTAGTTTCTTTGTTTTGTTTTTTTTATTTAAGCAGACCTTTGATGTCTTAAAGTAATCCAGGGCAATGTTTGAACAAGAAGCTGTTTTTATTTTGCACATTTTAAAAAGTCTTAAATGTATTTTAACCATTTTAAACTATAGAACCGATGTTAATAGTTTGTTTTAAACTTTTGTACCATAACTCTTTGGGTAACATTTTTTTTGTATGAGGCATACAAAATGGGTTATAAATTGAATGAATAAATACATAAATAATTCTGCCTGTTGTTTATTTAATTACTAAAATATGTATCTCTAGCTCCCAACTAAAGAAGTTTGTGTTTTGATTGTGCTCCATCTTCAAGATATGTACAGTATATGTAAAAATTGAAAAATCTGAAAACAAAATCTGAAATCCAAAAAACACCTTTGATATGGTATACTCAATCTGCATAAGCTGCTGATTTCAGATATATCAGATATAGCTCTCTTTTTGGTGTATGTCCTTAAAAGAAATGTTCCTTCAGTTGTATGCATTTTGCTAACTCTAAGGGAAACATAACCAAACTATCACAAACATTCCAATAAAACAATTTTTGCATATATTGTTTTATTGGAATTTGGAATTTCAGCATGTTATAGAATTCAATATATGTGAGCATGTCACAGAAACTTTTCAAGCTTCTGCAGCACCCACATCAGTGGTTTTAAAACATTAAAGGTCCTCTCTCTCCAGAAGCTGTGCAGTCATAGACCCGTCGCAAACTAGCCTCCTGTGGGAGCAAACTGTGCCAGCACGTCCCTGATGTCATGAGACTCCTCTCTCTCCGCCCCTTTCTCCGCCTCTTTCTCCGTGCCAGAGTGGTTTTTCCTTTGCTAGGGCAGCATTGCCAGTGTACTCTCGTTGTTGAATTCTGTCAACAACGAGAGTACGCTGGCAATGCTGCCCTAGCAAAGGAAAAACCACTCTGGCACAGAGAAAGAGGCGGAGAAAGGGGCGGAGAGAGAGGCGCAGTCTCATGACGTCAGGGACGTGCTGGCACAGTTTGCTCCCGCAGGAGGCTAGTTTGCGGCGGCTCATACAGTTCTCCTTAGATGTCTTAAGTCAATATTCAGGAGTGATGGCTGAATAAAAAGAGTAGTACTGATTCAGATTAATAGTTTCCAGAATAAAGCTGCATAACTTTATAGTTAGAGATGGTAGAAACTAGGAGTCTTCAAGGTAAACAGTATAGGTCTGTTTAGGACAGGGCTAAGACAGAGTGATCAATGAATGTTTGTTCTAGTATGTGTTGTTTGGATTGCAGGGCTATAATCCAAAGAGCACATGGCAGGGAATAATGTAGTACAAGTAATAAGTGACACAACAGTGTGCAGTTTGTCCTTTGCTGAAGTTGATGTTTGAAAAGGAGTTAAACATAATGGCTCACCTGCCTGAAGAGGATTTAGAGATATGAAGAACTTTGAAGAAGATCCAAATCAAGAAATTTGATAATTATCCATATAGTGAAGGGTTAGCTGTTTTAGCATGGAAAAATATTTTACTGTAATAATTGTCAAATTTTGTAAAATGATTTTATGTGAAACATCTTGGAATTCTTTGCCCTCCACCCACTCCCAATATTCCAGGTGATTGCTATAGTCATGGACACCTTCACGGACCTGGACATCTTTGGCGATCTCCAAGAAGCATGTAGAAAAAGGCAGGTTCCAGTATACATTCTTCTGGATCAAGCATTCATTCCTTACTTCTTGGCAATGTGCAAAACCCTAGAATTCCATCCTGAACTGGAACATGTAAGTTTTGAGACATTTCAGTATCACAGTAGGAAAATAGTTTGACCATAGGGTAACTGAACATATTTAAACATATTTAAACATTTTCCAAGCCAGTTTTTCATATTGCTTTGTCCCAGAATTTAATATGTTCAAACTAAAACGGTTCTGGCCCAAGCTACCTATCCGACCGCATCTCTGCCTATGAACCCACCAGGACTTTGAGATCTTCCGGGGAGGCCCTGCTCTCGATCCCGCCTGCTTCTCAAGCTCGGCTGGCGGGGACGAGAGATAGGGCCTTCTCGGTGGTGGCTCCTCGGCTGTGGAACGCCCTTCCTACGGACATTAGACTAGCACCATCTCTAATGGTATTCCGCAAAAAAGTGAAGACCTGGCTGTTTGAGCAGGCGTTCGAATAATTAGTGCAATGATTGGTTAATGAACACTGGAATGGAACAATGGATGACGAATCTGGAACATGTTTTTGATGACGAGACGACAGTGAATGGGTATTGTAGTAACTGTTTATTAATTGTGTCATGTGTTAGGTTGTTAACTGTTTTTATACTGTAGCATTGAATTTTTGTTGTTCGTATTTGTTGTGAACTGCTGTGAGTCGCCTTCGGGCTGAGAACAGCGGTATATAAGTAAGGTAAATAAATAAATTAAAAAAAACATAATCCAGGTGATGAAAAACTCTGAAAACTGAGTTGTTCTTTCCATTCTATCAGCTTTTGATTTACTATATTCGATTTTAGTATGACGACTGACCACTGTAGTTTTAAATATATGTGCTTTTTTAATGTTTTATTGTAATGTGTATTTTGATATTTTACCGATTGTATGTGTTTTTATGGTTGGAAACCGGGCTGTGTCCCTCTTATGAGGTGAGAAGCTCGGTATCTAAAACTTTGAAATAAATAAATAAATAAATAAATAAATAAATACTTCATATTTTTGTCACCAATTTCTCGGCCAAGGGAGTACAGTCTGTACATTGGCCATTCAAGTTTGGTTTTATGCTGCAGAGATATAATCCAAATAATAATAATAATAATAATACTTTATTTATATTCTGCCCTTCTCACCCCGAAGGGGATTCGGGGCGGATCACAGTACACATACACGGCAAACATTCAGTGCCGTTTTTGGGATGGGACAAGGACAGACAGAACAGATATTGTGTTGTATTGACATCCAGTTGAACATCCAGCCTTTGGAAGTTTCCAGCCACAGGGAGCGCTATTGCTCCATCCTCTATGACAAAGAGCCATCAGGACTTCCTCCTTCCTTTTGGTCACCAGCACTCTTTGATCTTTTTCTTTATGGTGTCATAAACTACCTCCCCCACATTACCAGTACCTAATTTCTCTAATCACAGCTGTAAGCTGTTTTCAAACTGCTTAGGTAAACAGTGAGCAGGGCTGAAAGTCGGGTGCTCATGCCGACCTGGGGCTTAAAATTTGCTACCTTTTGGTTGGTAGATCTTATCATTGCTGGTGATTTACCAGTTGTGCCAAAGCCCCAGCCAAATGACATGAAAGGTGGAGAGACACCCTCCTCCACTATGACATCTGTAACGAAATGCCTAATTAAAGTATAAGTTTTAGATATGTTTATTAATATTAGTTGAGAGGTGGTCAGAAGCGCCAGGCATTGCCATAGCAACATAGCCTCCAGACAGAAAAAAGGGGTGGAGCCAGCTATCACTGGAGGAAAAGAATATTGGTTTTAAAAAGAGTCAGTTGGTGGCTGAGTGAACCAGAGGATGGTTGATCCTAATTGTGTGTAGTTGGTCACTGGTTGAAAATACTGCCTTGACAAATTTGTTTCAAATACCGTTCTTTTTTTGTAAACAGCTGATGAGAGTCCGAACGATCACAGGAAACACTTACTATGCAAGATCAGGAGCCAAGATAATAGGGAGTGTCCATGAGAAGTTCATGTTGATTGATGGTGTAAGAGTGACTACAGGCTCCTACAGGTAAGTAACGTGATGTCTTTTATATTCATCACAAACATCTAAAAAGGTAGTGTGGCCTCATGGGAGGTCTAGTATAGCTGCAAATCAAATTGTCATCTCCACTGAAGCATGTTGTTTTTAACGAGAAGACCCTAATGATACATATTTTTATTGAGTTTATTGATTCTGTAATAGTTTTATTATTCGATTGTTTATTATATTGAAATTGTATTTTATGGTCTTGGTACCAACTGTAAACCGTCCCGAGTTGCCTGCGGGCTGAGAGGGATGGTATATAAATATAGTAAATAAATAAATAAATAAACCTGTGTAAGCATATATACCTTCTTAAGCAACCAGGCTCCCTAGATGTTTGTCTTGGAGGAGTAGCAGAAGACTGATAAGTGTCCTCTGCAGAATTGCATGCCCTGGCTGCTCTAAACTAGTTTGTTTTATCTTGGTCTGGGGGAAGAGTGCAAATGTTAACATACATTTTACTTGCTAATCTAACTGGTATCTGATTATGACATGTAGTGAGTTTCCGTTTTGTCCTTCACTTCAGACAGCAAAATGTTGTCAGCTCTTTTAGTTCTTTTTATTTCAGGCCTCTGAATTATAGTTGCTTTTGGACATGACAGTATGGAAACGCAAATATATTAAACTTAAGAGGCATGTGTGTTTTTGCATGCCTAAGGAATAGGAAGGTTGGGAGAGTATTTTGCTGGAAACATACAGCTGTCTTAAACTTAAACAGAGATTATTTCCTTTTTTAGAAGAAGGCTGGGACTCGCATCCCATTTTTTGGCATATGGTATTAAAGCAGTTTCACAAGAACATAAGCCTCCATAAAATGGGTAAGCCCCATCCCAATCAGTTATTTCAAGTTTTTTTTTACATTCTTATTTTCAGGCCTTCCGTGGCCTGCAGAAAATCAAGGAATGGAAAAACTTGGCCCTTGAGCAGTTCAAAGCTTTCCATACCTGCATTGCATAGACAGGAAATTTCAGTCAAGTGAGATCTAACACATTATCTCTGGTTTTTATGGTAACTGACTTAAAGGCCAGCACTCTCAAAGCTCAGTAAACTTAATTTCACCAAGGATTTGAGGTTTCTTAGACAATATGTTACTTTATGGGTCCCCCTTTCTGAGCCCTGGTGACCTTGCATGATGGCAAGGGCAACCAGCATCAGTATTTGAGTAGTACCAGGGTGTTTTTTTTTTTCATGTCAGGCGTGACTTGAGAAACTGCAAGTTGTTTCTGGTGTGAGAGAATTGGCTATCTGCAAGGACGTTGCCTAGGGGACGCCTGGATGTTTTCACCATCCTGTGGGAAACTTCTCTCATGTCTCCATGTGAGAAGCTGGAGCTGCTAGATGGGAGCTCACTCCCCCCCCTTTTGGTCAGTAGTCCTGCCAGCACAAGGGTTTAACCCATTGCACCAGGGGCTCCTAGTGCCAGGTGACAACTCCAATTCCTGTTAATTCACAAAGCAAACCCTATGTAGGGGTTTTCTTGACAGAAGAGGTTTAACCTTTCCTTATCTGAGAGTAAAACTGTATGACTTCCCCAAGGTCAAAGAGTTGGCTTCAAACCCTGATCTCTATTTTCCTAGTCTAATGCTGAAACTCGTACATCATGTTGCCTTGCTATCTAATAAGTTGCTGGATGTTGTTTAGCTATAATTCTCAGCATCTCAGATAAACTGACTTCTTGGAAACCAACTTTTGGAACCACTGTATTATAGGGTACAACAATCAACATATGGTTATAAAATATTTTAATGGTAGGGCTGTTTGATACTGAACATGATTTGATTAGAATACATGTCATAATACTCACCCCTTTTTTCTCCATCCCTCTCTGCAGTTTCACATGGACTGATGGGAAGTTAAACAGCAGTAACCTGTTGCTACTTTCAGGTCAAGTAGTTGAACATTTTGACTTGGAGTTCCGGATCCTTTATGCACAATCAAAGCCCATTGACTCAAAGCTACCATTCAGCTGCAGGAGCAATGGTTCCCCTGAGCATCTAGCTAACAAAACAACACATTGCAAAGACTTTACCGTGGGTAATCTTCTGAGAGCTGAGTTTGCCAGACTCTCAAGTAGCCCACAAAAGCTCGAGCAAGAATTGAAGCTAGCTAAGGAACGCCAAGGAGGAAGATTCATTGGTAAACGCCCACACCTTAATGGGGATGAAGATTTGGACAATACTACTGAAGCCTTAGCAAAACCTAAAGAGACGGTCAGTCATTCAACTCAGACCGAACCATTGGAAGAGAAGCCCATGGCATCACTCTCCAACTGTGCCACTCAAACCACTTATTCAGTGGCAACTGCTACCACACAGACAACAACTCGTTCTAGAATAGTGGGCACACAGACAGTTGTTCAGTTCAAAACTGCCACTACACAGACAAATCAGAGGCAGGCTGTGGACCTGTCTGTGAATCATACTGTACCTGATCAGAGGGTGCCTTCTAAAGAAGGATCTCCAGTTTCTAGAAAGTCTACCTCTACTTCTTCTAGTGGGTGGTCAATTTCTTCCCAGTCTTCTCAGTGCTCTAGGGCAAGTTCTACTGGTTCATTGACATCCCTGAGATCCATGGACTACACTGTCAACCACCAGGGAGACTACTTCCGCAAAAAAAATGAGAGGGAATTCCACTATTCTGTCATCCGGTCTAAACTTAATCATATGGTTTCCATACTCTCCAGGAGAGGAAACATTGCTGGCAGCTACATAGGCTACCGTCCAATGACATGCAACTTAAAAGATAGGCAGGGTATCAGCACGAGCCTAATAAACCTCCGGGATTTTGCACTGTATACATCGAATGATTGTTTCTGAGGAATGGAAGCTCTGGTGCACGTACAATAGGGTTGCCAGAATAAAAACTGGAGAGGGCTATTGTAACTTTAAGTAGTTGTGTAGAAGAGGGAATTTTAGAGAGTGTCACTTGTCTCACAATCTGCAAGCCAACTCTAGGTGAAATTTCCTTTTTGACACAATTGTTACAGGTGAAACTATTCATATATGCCATGTGTATTTTGTTTCTTCAAAAAATTGCTTATTTACATCAATCCACAATTTTTCTATGCTACTACCAAGCACTGGGTGGAAACCTTGAGTCCACAGACTCAGAAGTTTCTATATCCAGCTTACAAGATCTCTCAGGGCTGCTACACCTTGACATCTTCCCTGAAATGCCCCAGCTTTATTGTCGGGAAGACAACAGCTGTAGCACTCTTGTATTTGATCAGTGTTTTAACACTGGGATTACTCCTCACTGGGCTCATCTATTTGGAAAGCAAGTTAAGTGAGGAGGAAAGTTCTCAGGGTTTACTGTAGTACATAAAAAATAATAATTTTGCAAGCTTGTGGTACGATGACAGCCATGATATGCAGATACCTGTATAATTTTTCTCAGTTGCATGTGTTTTTGTGTGTGCATAATCTGAATTTTTGGCAGCTACTGGTGTGTTGTTGGATTTTGTTTTTGTTTTGTTTTGTTTTTTTGCTTTTTAAAAAATGTATAATCGTTAATTTGTTCTGGTGCTTTTTTGTTTTTGTTTAAATGGTACAGCATCTTTGGTCAATCCACAAAGACACTGAATTTTTTAACCCCCAAGTGCCTATCTTTATATATGTGTATGTATCCATAGGAATACATTTTAACTACTGATATGGGTTAATAAGTAGCCGTGAATGAAACACTGTCCAGTGTCCCTGTGGCTTTTTTAACAGCAAAAATGTATCTTAATATTCAAAAATGGTGCACTTTCCCATCTGAATAGAGCTTTTTTTACCGTTTGCCACAGTTGTGTATGTTGATGACTATAACTTTGAAAATAAAATATTGCGGAAAGGTGTTACCTGGAATTCAAGCCTACTATCTAGTTATCATAATTGAACACAATTCACTAGCTTCTTGCTTTCAGCCAACTACCTTAGCTATTTCCCTAGCTAACTTTTCATCTGACTTCAGCTAACTCCAGCTAACTGACCAACTGACTCCATCTAAATAACCAACTGACAGAATGCTCATCTGGGCTCCTCCAGCTGTCATCCTTGGCTCCGCCCATATTTCAAATCTTGGCACCCACTCATTTGCATCCGGCCAATCAGGTTGCTCTCATGCAAATAGCTTCTCCACTGGTGCTGCTGCTTCCTGAGAGTCACAAAATTGCTGCTCACACGCTGACCTTTTAAGGTAGGCCACATACCAACTTTCTAAGGTGAATTAGATCCTTTACAAATATCATAAAATAAAACTACAATATGCAGTCAGATTTGGGTATTGCATTATGTCAGGTTGTATTGCACTCTGCTCCAATAGTCATGAAGTTCTGCCTTGGTCAGACCACATCTGGAATTCTTTGTAATTTTTCTCATTTGATTGTGTTGCAGTTGGTCCCATGTAGCTGTTTGTGAATTGGGCCACAAAAAGGTCATTCAAGTGAATTTCAGCCTTCTCTATATTATCTTTTTTTACAGATGGTTTCTAGTTACAAGTCAGTGTAATTAGGAGGCAGATCCCGTGTAGCTATGCTATCACATATGGAAGTTTTGTTATAGTTTCATGTCTGGCATCTAGAAGCACAGATGTTGATAAACACTGGATCAGTGGTGTACAGACAATGAACATGTAAGCTAAATGCTCAGATTCTGACATTATTGTTGCATTTGGCGAGTACCAGCTGTCACAAACTACATGATTATGTGTAAATAGAACTATTTTATTTATTTATTTACTATATTTATACCCTTCTCACCCCAAAGAGGACTTGGGGCAGCTAAAATCTAGAACTACACACAAGAGCAATACTATTTATAAATAACCAGGCCAAGTGGAAAAATACCGTATGCCAGTGAACCCAATTAGTGGAGACTTTCTATGCAATCAGACACATGCATATAGAAAATTCTAGAACCAAGCTACATAGGAAATATATGCTAAGAAATCCCAATGGAATCTCTTAAAACTAACAAGCCAACATTCTGGGAATCAAAGCATTAACTTTTTTTAAAATAATATATCCTGATTAAAACAATCCTAAAACCTATCTGATTTGATCAAATGGATATGTGCAATGAGGAGTGAAATGGAGATTTTTTCCCCCCTTGGAGGCAGGTTTAGGATGGCGTAGCTTTTAAAATTAGAAATTGGAGATAAAGGCTTACACACCCTTGGCATTGCTATCACAGTCTACATAGGGCCACACATATTTTTCATATGAAGACATCAAAGATGATAACCACAGCTTTCCAGTATCATCAGCTTATCAATGCCAGGATGTCTGTATTGCCTTTTAACTGCTATTTATTAATTATCACTGTATATACTCTTTGCATTTAAATTCCCTCTCCCTGTTGAGTACCTCCCACATTCACCCAAACAATCATGACTGATAGTAGCCTACAGTTTGTAAAAACACATTCCAAATCAAATTTGTATTGTGAAATTTCAGACTTGCAGTGGATGACTAGAATTGATTTCCACTGATGTAAAAGAAAACATCATCTAATTATTATATCAGATGCTTGGGAGAACCATTCTAATCTAGCCTTTTCTCTGTGATATGTGTTATCTTTCATTGTGCAGGAAGTTGTTTTGTGATGAGGCAAGAAAAGTACACAGGCTGTGATATCTCATACTACTGATATTTAATTTAATTTATAGCCATCTCTTCTCCTAACAGGCAATCCAAGCCAACTCTATATAAGTTAAAATTCTGTTAAAAACAATGGATAATAAGAATGTTTATTTTAAAAGCAATCATATTTAAAACATTCATTGAATTAAAAGATGAAAAAGTGTAGTACATTTACTTGAAAAATCTTGTGCAATGTCCAAAGTCCTGAATAAACAAACAAACAACATCATTTGCCTGCCAGTGGAAAGATTAAAAAAATTCCATAGGATTGGGCAATCACCCAGGAGTCCTTCTCCCATGTGTTCACTAAATATGCCTGTGTTGGTGGCATTTGAAAGCCATCAGTTATAGCACTGTGGTGCCACTTTAATTATCATAGTTGCATCACATGAAATGTGGTTTGAAGTTTTGGAAGTAGTATTTGTAATTTCAGTCAGTGGGCTCCAGGGTTTCTGTTTATTGCTGTTATTAACTGCACCAAGTAGTCTTTGACTTATGGCAAATCTATGAATGATACACCTTCAAGTGATCTTGTTATCCGCAATCCTAGTAAGGTCTTATAAGGTCAGGACTATGGCTTCCTTAATTGACTGTCAACTCTATTATGTCTGGAATCACTCTGAAATGAAATATCTTCAAATTTAGAATTGCACCACATAAGCAAAATCGATTGTAAAAGAAAAAACTTGGCAGGAAAATGCCCCCCTTCCCAGCCAATGGAACCCTGTACTTAGTTAAGCACATCTAAGCATAATGGTAAATCTGGCACTATACCCCATCCTTACCCCCATGATATGTCCAAAGTATCATAGCCTCAGTTTAATCATCTATGGAGAGTTGAGGCTTTGTTTGCTCTTAGACCCATTCATTTGGGTTTTTAGCTGTCCATAGAATCTATAGAACATTTTCAAATTATGGTAGTTGATTCTCTTCCTATGTGATTTCTTCAGTGCCCAGTACCTCACCAAATCAAAAAACACAGGATTCCATAGGATTTAGCCAGGATAGTTAGAAAGGAATCAGTTCTATGACTCTGTAGTTTGAAAGAGAGCTGAGAAAAAAAGATCGTAATACTTTGACAGCCTTATATCAGGAGATTCCATACAGTCATTCACACTGGTTCCTTGTACCATTCAGAAACAAGTTATACTACTTCTTTGCTTGAAGTTGGCCACTTGAAGTTGGCTCCATGTGTGCGCTTGTTCAAATTGGCTTGGGAAGATGAGAGCTCTCTTCCCTTGTTCTCAGCCCATTTCTCAGCTGGAAGGGCTGACTTAGCACTTTCCACTTTTGCATGGCACCTCAGAAAAAGCACCTGAGGCTGTGACACAAGGGTCTAGTAAGCGAGTCTTGTGTAAGACAGGTGCTCTGGATTAGAGGAGTATGGTTTTCTATGGATGAGTCATTTGAATTCTACATTCCCATCATCGTCATCAGTCACTCATGTTGAAATCTTCAGAAGTGAAAGACTCTGGGTAAAAAAGTGGAAATGCCTTTAAATTTCAGATACCATATAAAAGAGGAATTACTCTCAGTTTTTCTCACAGTGTCTGTGTTCTCTTGTGCACCATTTCCATGACTGCATAGTGGGGAAGAGAGGTCTTGTCTTCCCCGGCCAATTTGAACAAGCTCACCACTTCACATTGAAGGAAGTCCTCAATGGTGGCTGGTCAACTTTCAAAGTTTCCTAAATTGGGAAGAGAAGTACGTGCCTCTCTGAGCCAGAGATCCAAAGCCATCCTGTCGCACTGCCATGCCACCATGCCACATAGATGAAAGTGCCTAGGTTGATCAGTTACACAACACTTCTTATTATTGCTCATCACTCCTGTATTTCACTGTGCAGTCCTCCTGACACTGACATTGGGTTGGCTAGCCTTCGCCAGAAGTTCTTTTAAGAGGCAGACCTGAATAGAGACTTATTTCCAACCCTTCTTTGAAGAGGCATAAATACTTTTGTTTGGTGGTAAGGCCAAGTCTTTTCCATGGGATTTGCTCCCATAAATGTACACAGGTCATAATCCCATTCCTATTTACCTTAGGTTAAACTCTACTGAATGCAGGAGATTTCACGATTGCATTTCAAACAATTAAATTTAGTTACACACTTCAATGAATAAACATGTATAAGACACCTCTAGATAGAAATTGGGATTAAAAAGTGTCATTTTAATATTATGGGGCTCACTAAGCAGCATCAAGTTACACAAATAGGCACCTGTTTGAATTTATGTCAATCCAAGGCTGGCTGTTGAAATGTTTGCAACCTTATTAGGGAGAAAAGATAGCTATTCTAGGGCTCTGCCTTTAGGATCCGAGTACATCTAAGAGTGTGCATCTACACGTTTCCCTTATCACAGCACAGGCATGTGGCCCAAAAGATTGTTTCAACCAAATGTCTTCTGTGCCTTGGAGTAGATTAGGTTGTGTCTGCCTGTATGCAAAGATTTGTTATTATGGATGATCATTCAAAGATTTAATCTCCCATACTTTACCTGATATAACCTGGTTAGTGTCATGACTTGCACCTACAATCTGATTCATAGATTATAAGCAATCCATTAAACTGCTTCAACTCGCAATATCCACAGACTCTTTTAAAAGCCAAAGTCAGAAGCATCCAGTCCAATTTCTATTTCTGGTTATAAAAGCTAGATGGTGATGAAAGCTGTCAGGAAGAAAATCAATTCATTTGAAATGTAGTGCTGGAGAAGCTTTTTGCTGATAACATGGACTGCTAAAGATAATGAATGATTTTATAGCAAATGAAACTTGAACTCTCACAAGAAGCCAAGATGGCTAAACTTGGACTGTCATGCTTTGAAGATAACACAAGAAGGGTGGTTCCCATGGAAAAAATGGGAATGCTGCCCAAAGTGGAAGGCAGTTGGAAAAGGAGGAAAATCATGGAGGTTACTGTTCTGAGTTTGCAAAATGTGAGCTTGGCACTTTATTACCAAGGATATTAGAAGTTTCTTATTCATAGGGTAGTCTTCCATTGAAGTTCACATATTCTGCCTCCCCACCCCACAAAGACAATATAAATTTAAAGGAGGAGCATACACTAAAACCAAATACACGTGCCCCTCCCCTGTATTAGTGTTTTGCCCCAATTGTCTATGAAAAATGACATGAGGTGTATTTTGTTTCTAGAGATATGTGTGAGTTTTTGTAAGGAAAGGTGATTCAGAAGGCTTTATGGTCTTGAATAGCAGAGATAGGGCAGAGCCCATTTGCTTTAGTGGAGTGGGGACAGGATTAAAAAAGATGCTCAGTTTAGGGAATAATACCTTTTATGTGAGAGAAATGTTTATAATATTGAAGGTAATTTAGCTGAACATCTGTGCAATTTCAGATACAACTACAGCATTCCTAATAGATGGCCTCCGGTAGGAAAGCACCCATCAATTCTCATCAAACATCTCATATTATTCAGAAGTTTCTCTTGAAGTTCAGCTGAAATCTGCTTCCCTGAAATTTCCATCCGTTTGTTCCAGTTCTGCCCTCCGGCACAACAGAAATTACGTTTGCACCAGCTTCTGCATAACAGCTGTTCATATATTTGAAGATTGCTATCATGTTTCTCTTGAAGTTGCTCTTCTCCAGAATAAGCAGTCCCGGTGCTTTTATAGGTTTGTAACTGAACTTGGTCTCTGGACAACCTTCAGAGAACATTGGAGTTCATCGGTTTATTTCTTAAAATGTGTCACCCACACAACACTCATGACGTCTTCAGGGGCGGCTAAACCCATTACGCAAAGTAAGCATTTGCAGTATAGCTGATTTTGCCCACGGGTGCTCTTGAGGCGCTCTTGAGGGAAAATAGACCTTGACACATGCAAATTGTAGTTACTGGGATGTATAGTTCACCTAAAATCAAAGAGCATTGTGAACTCCACCAATGATGGAATTGAACCAAATATGGCACACAGAATTCCCATGACGAACAGAAAATATATATTAGTTATTGGTGGTGGGGGGCGTCAAAATAGTTTACCATTGAAAATTACCTAGGGCCGCTGGACGTCTTACACATCACATTCACCCATAGATAATAAATCAGTTAAAGCAGGAATGGGCAAACTTCGGCCCTCCAAGTGTTTTGGATTTCAACTGTTTTGTTGTGTGTTTTGGTTTCTTACCAGCTGTTAGGAATTGTGGGAGTTGAAGTCCAAACATCTGGAGGGCCGAAGTTTGCCCATGTCTGAGTTAGAGGGTTACTATTTTAATCAGAAAAGATATACTGAGATGAGAGTGGTGAAGGGCTGGATATGCTTTTTCCCAGCTTCGGCATCAACTTTTTATTTGAGTTGTGGCTCTCCAGATGTTCTTTGACTGAAATTCCTGTGATCCCTCATTTGCTATGTTGACAAGGGCTTTTAAATAAACAAATTGTCTGGAGTCTGTTATAGGGCCCCCTATGTAAAATCCAGTACTGCCCTTACTGTATAGTTTTGATTTATCTCAAAATTCTTCATACATTTGGTCTGCTTCCAATAATCTTAAACTTGCTTGCAAATTTAACTTGAGGTGAAATCCAGTAAGAAAAAAAAGAGGGAAGGATCACTTTGAAAAAAGGGTTTCCTTTATATTTTTTCATAAGTTTCAAATATATCACTTGCTTTTATTTAAGTGTTTCAAGTCACCAGTGTTTAATGTCTTTCAACACTCTTGCCATTCTATTAACACCATGTTTTAGAATGGTTTTACCTCTACCGACAGAGAGAAGGTAGCAGAACAGGACAGGCAAATAGAAATGGAAGCTTTTCTTATAGGAAGACCTGTTGATCATCATGCTCCAATGCAGAAATACTACAGATCCTATTGACCCTTCTCTTCTGGGAGTCATAGGCTGGTCACCTAGCCATACTGAATCACATATAATTGTAAATGCTACAAAAACTTGATAATGTATTTGCTTCCAATTTCCTCAAATTGCCAAAGTGAATGAAAGATCCACTATTTTAAGTTATGCTATCATTTCAACAGGTAGTTTAAAACAAAATTTCAAACAGCAGCACATAAGCAAAGAAACAGAAGCTGGCTCCAGTTTTAATTCTGATAACATTATGCAGACCTGAAAAAAAAGTGATTGTGGGTTTTCTGGAATACTGTGTCCAATTCTGAGCACCACAATCGAAGGGAGATGTTCACAAGCTGGAATGTGTCCAGAGGAGGGAGACTAAAATGATCAAAGGTCTGGAGAACTAGTTCTATGAGGAGCGGCTTAAAGAGCTGGGCATGTTTAGCCTGCAGAAGAGAAGACTGAGAGGAGACATGATAGCAGAGGTGGCCCTAGGTAATTTTCAATGGTAAGCAAACAGTATTTTGGCGCCCCCCAACCAATCACTGATACATATTTTCTGTTCATCGTGGGAGTTCTGTGTCCCATATTTGGTTCAATTCCATCATTGGTGGAGTTCAGAATGCCCGTTGATTGTAGGTGAACTATACATCCCAGTAACTACAACTTGCATATGTCAAGGTCTATTTTCCCCCAAGAGTGCCTCAAGAGAACCCTGGGCAAAATCAACTATACTGCAAATGCTTACTTTGCATAATGAGTTGAGCCGCCCCTGCATGATAGCCATGTATAAATATGTGAGGGGAAGGGGAGCATGTTTGGTATCTGCTGCCCTGGAGACTAGGGGCCCTTTCACACAGCCTAATAATAATAATAATAATAATAATAATAATAATAATTTATAACCCACCACCATCTCCCCAGAGGGGACTTGGGGCAGCTTACATGAGGCCAAGCCCGGTAATATATTACAACAAAGTAAATACAGAACAGCAAAAATAGGCTTACAATAAAATAAGTAGAACATAAGAATAAAATAAAACAGTGCTAAATACAAAGTGAAAAATCAAACACAGTGGGTGGGCCAAACGTACGACATAAAATGATAAAACTCTGGATGAGACAGCAATGAAAATGGTATACCCCAGAATATCAAGGCAGGAAATCCCACATTATCTGAGTGTGGACTCAGATAACTCAGTTCAAAGCAGATATTGTGGGATTTTCTGCCTTGATATTCTGGGATATAGGGCTGTGTGGAAGGGCCTGCTTCAAGCTACAGGAAAGGAAATTCCACCTGAACATTAGGAAGAATTTCCTGACTTTGAGAGTTGTTCAGCAGTGGAACTCTCTGCCCTGGAGTGTGGTGGAGGCTCCTTCTTTGGAAGCTTTTAAACAGAGGCTGGATGGCCATCTGTCGGGGGTGATTTGAATGCGATTTTCTTGCTTCTTGGCAGCGGGTTGGACTGGATGGCCCACGAGGTCTCTTCCAACTCTATGATTCTATGTTAAATTTAGGGCAAATATCTATAAATGCAAGAAAAAATTTCAGAAACAGCTTAAGCGGCTGAGGGGGAAAGGAAGGGGCCTGAGGCTGTTAGGAATTGCGGGAGTTGAAGTCCAAAACACCTGGAGAGAAGGCRCAAGTTGGCCCATGCATGAGCTAGCTCAACCTGCTAATTTGCATATGGTTTCTGATTGGCCAGCCTCAACATTCCAACACTCTGAAGCGGCTGAGGGGGAAAAGGAAGGGGCCTGAGGCTGTTAGGAATTGTGGGAGTTGAAGTCCYAAACACCTGAGGGTGGCCCAGGGCTACAGCAGAGTGTGATGCTTCTGCGTTTATGAGGGCTTGAAACCACAGGCCGCTTCTCCGCCTCCTGGCCTTGCAGCTGCGGCCGAACCCTGYGGGGAAAGCAACCATGGCAACGGCGGTCCAATGAGGACGCCCCGCTCGGTCACGTGCTCCCCTCCTCTCCGGCCGCGCTGCGGAGCGGGCTCCTTCCCGCCTCGTTGGCCTTTCACCCCAAAATGGCGGCGCCCGTGGGTCCGATGAAGTTTTGGAAACCAGGTGAGGGCTGCTGGAGCCTTCCGAGCGGGACGTGGGCAGGAGACTCGGGAGCAAGGAGACACCAGGGAGCGGGGCGCGGCGTTCGGCTTGAGTCCCCTTTCTGTTTCCAGCGAAGGAACGGGGGGCGGGGTCCAGAGGGGAATATTGCAGATGGTTTCCCTGAATGAAGAAGGCGAGGGGCTCGCGCTTCTCTGGTTGGAAGCTGGCGCGCAGTCAGTCCCTCCCTCCCTCTCTCTTTCTCTCTAAGGTTGAAAGGAAAAAGGCACTCTGCGCGTGCTCGGGGGCATCTTCTACTTGTTTGGAAACGTGCAATAATACAAATATGGGTTGCTGTGAGTTTTCCAGGCTGTCTGGCCATGTTCCAGAAGCATTCTCTCCTGACGTTTCGTCCACATCTATAGCAGGCATCCTCAGAGGTTGTGAGGTCTGTTAGAAACTAGAGAAGTGAGGTTTATATATATGTAGAATGTTCAGGGTGGGGAAAAAAGAACTCATGTCTGCTTGAGGCAAGTGCAAACCTTGCAATTGGTCAGTTTGAATAGCCTTGCAGCTTCAAAGCCTGGCTGCTTCCTTCCTTTGTTGGAAGGTGTTACCTGGCCCTGATTGTTCCCTGTTTAGAATTCTCCAGTGGGTTAAGCCCCTGTGTTGACAGGACGAAAGACCGACACGTCGCAGGTTCGAATCCGGGGAGAGCGTGGATGAGCTCCCTCTATCAGCTCCAGCTCCCCATGCGGGGACATGAGTGAAGCCTCCCACAAGGATGGCAACATATCAAAACATCCCCTGGGCAACATCCTTGGAGATGGCCAATTCTCTCACACCAGAAGCGACTCGCAGTTTCTCAAGTTGCTCCTGACATGACAACAAAAGAATCCGGGGAGAGCGTGGATGAGTTCCCTCTATCAGCTCCAGCTCCACATGCAGGGAAGTGAGAGAAGCCTCCCACAAGGATGGTAACATATCAAAACATCCAGGCGTCCCCTGGGCAACGTCCTTGCAGATGGCCAATTCTCTCACACCAGAAGCGACTCGCAGTTTCTCAAGTTGCTCCTGACACGACAACAAAAGAATCCGGGGAGAGCGTGGATGAGCTCCCTCTATCAGCTCCAGCTCCCCATGCAGGGACATGAGAGAAGCCTCCCACAAGGATGGTAACATATCAAAACATCCAGGCGTTCCCTTGCAGATGACCAATTCTCTCACACCAGAAGCCACTTGCAGTTTCTCAAGTCGCTCCTGACATGACAACGAGTGTTGCTCTTTATTTACTGTCCTGATTCTAGAGGTTTTTTTAATGCTGGTAGTCAGATTTTGTTCATTTTCATGTTCTTTTTTCTATCTGTTTTAAAAATATAATATAATATAATATAATACTATAATAGTAATACAACATAATAATATATACTAATATTGTAATTTAGGGCTTTAAAGGTAACAACCAGTACTTTAAATTTCACCTGGTAGCAAACTAGAAGCCGGTGGTGCTGCTGTAACATGGGAGTTGGTCTCTCCTTGTTAGTAACTTTGAATTATTATTATTGATAATAATATTATAGTATAATACAATATAATACTAATAATGATACAATATAATAATATGTAGTAATAATACTGTAATATAGTAATACTAACATGCAGTCATGCAGGCTACATGACCTTGGAGGTTTCTATGGATAACACTGGCTCTTTGGCTTAGAAATGGAGATGAGCACCAACCCCCAGAGTTGGACACGACTAGACTAAATGTCAAAGGGAAACCATTAATATATTAAATATCGTTATTAATATGTAATACACTGTTTTATTATTGTATATTTGTATATTTTAAGTTGTAATGTTTTTGATTGTGAGCTGCTTTCAGTCTCCGTAGGAAGAGATACAGTGGGATATAAATAAATACATAAATAAATAATATTCTTGAGCTGTGGTGTTAATAAAAACAAATTCATCTCTTTATTGAGGACCTTGATCTATATACCTTTTAATATTAAAACATGTTTTAATGCAGTTGATTGATTTTAAGTTTCTTGGTATTTCTTAATCTTGAAACTTCACCCTCTGCGTAGCTTGCAAAGGGATCTTGTAACACATAGATATCCTCAGATAAAGTAATTTAGCTCTGTGACAATTTATACTACCAACTTTTCTCTCTCTTAAAAATACAAGATGCCTTTGCATATTGACATTCCAGATTAACATGGCTATTGTTTTGATTTCTAGTTGCAAGCATAAACTTCTGTACATTAAATGGTTCCTCAGATAAAGTAATTTAATTCTGTAAAAATGTTTGCTCATTCCTTGCACACTCCAAACTGCTCCAAGATGACATTGCATACTGATGTTCCAGTCTTACAAGGCTATGACTAGGGGCCCTTCCATACAGCCATATCACCCAGAATATCAAGGCAGTAAATCCCACAATATCTTCTTTGAACTGGGTTATCAGAGTCCACACTACCATATATTCCAGTTCAAAGCAGAGAATGTGGGATTTTATTCAGCTGTGTGGAAAGGGCCTTTAAATTCTACCTCTGTGGTTCTTTATTTAACTTACAGGCATTTGTTTCTCATTAAAAATGGCACGTTTAAATCCCAATTCTAAGCATACACACAGTTCTTATATGGGATGAGCCAAAAGTCACAAAGATATTTTTCTTTAAGTTTTTACATATATTGTATGTAATGTGATGTGATGTTATTTTCTATATATATATTGTATATCACTAGTCCACAAACTTTTTAAACAGAGGGCCAGGTCACAGTCCCTCAAACTGTTGGAGGGCCGGATTATAATTTGAAAAACAAACAAACATGAATTCCTATGCACACTGCACATACCTTATTTGTAGTGCAAAAATCACTTAAAATAATACAATAATTAAAATGAAGAACAATTTTAACAATTATAAACTTATTAGTATTTCAATGGGAAGTGTGGGCCTGCTTTTGGCTGATGAGATAGGATTGTTGTTGTTGTTGTTGTTGTTGTTGTTGTTGTGTGCTTTCAAGTCGTTTCAGACTTAGGTTGACCCTGAGCGAGGGCCGGGTAAATGACCTTGGAGGGCCATATCCAGCCCTCGGGCCTTAGTTTGAGGACCACTGTTGTATATGATGACTTTTGGACCACTTTGTACTTGTATGCATGAAGCATATTGAGATTAATGGAGTTTATTTGGCTCAGGGTGCATCTATATCAGGCATGGGCAAACTTCAGCCCTCCAGGTGTTTTGAACTGCAGCGACCACAATTCCTAACAACCAGCCATTAGACATTGTGAGAGTTGAAGTCCAAAACACCTGGAGGGTCGAAGTTTGCCCATGCCTGATCTATATTATAGAATCAATGCAGATTTACCCCACTTTCATTGCCATGAAAACCTGCAATATGTAGTTTTACAAGGACTTTGGCCTTCTCTGCCAAAGAGAGCTGGTGCCTGTGACACTAGAGCTCTCAGGATTCAATAGCATTGAGACATGACACTCAAACTACATTAATCAGCAGTGTAGATGCACTCTTAGATATAGCAAAGTCTTACTTGAATATCTTTCGTGAGTAATTTCATCAGGATTTATTTTTAAAGCCGCCCCCTCTCTCAAGTAACAATGCAACCACATTAGAGAAACCTGTGTCATATACCATGTGTATTGTACATAACTCTAGTGATGATGTGGAATATTTTCCAAAATAATATTGACAGCTACAGTGATTTGAATTAAAAGACTTTACAACCAGAGTTGTTTGGAAACTCAAAAGGAAACCTTGGCTATGACTTAAAAAGCTAAAAGATCAACATTCTCCTTTGCTTTGGAATTAGATACTTCTCTCATTAGCTCACTGCTTGCAAAGCAATATGTACATTAGTTAATGTTGATGTTGCAGTCCGGTATTTCTGCATTGCTAAGCAATCTGCATGCTTCCTCTGATATTTGCATGATGCTTTTCAGATGATTGTCCTTGTGTGAAGGATGATTAGTGCACAGCTTTCCTCTGCAGCAGTGAAATTTTATAGGCCCATTAATATTATTTAAATTAGGTAATTGCTCATTTATAGGGCTGGGGCAGCCTTCCTAACGGTTTGGAACAGCAGCTTTCCTTACTGTCTATTCATTTGCACATAGTTACAAGTTGCTTCTATTAGTTTGAAAGTCCTAAAATGACCATGTCTTTGTTGTAATTTTGCTGTATTTTCACAAACTTATTTGTTAAATGTTTGTTTATGTGTTATGTTAATGGGACAAATTCCATTGCACTTGCTAGAATTTATTTTAAAGATACTTATTTGTTAAATGTTTATGTGTTATGTTAATGGGACAAATTCCATTGCACTCGCTAGAAATTATTTTAAAGATATTTATAGGACTGAACAGTAAGTCATGCTGTGAAAGTTGAAGTTATAGATCTTAATCCGTTCAGTAACCTTCAGTGGAATTGGGGAGTGATTTTGCAGAGACAGGTGGGAAGTATTTCATGAAATAAATACATAATAGTTTTGTGTCAATAAAAGTTTTTACTTGTGATCCAGCAAAAATATAAATTCCACATTTTGTTTCCAATTGTAGCATGTGTAACATTTTAAATAGATTATGTAATTTCAACAATGTTTCCCCAGGCTTTTTAACCACAATGAAGTTAAGAAACTGCCTCATTGAATACAGATTATCAGTCCGTCTTGCTTGGTATTGCCACGTTTATCTCGCAAGAGTTCTCCGGGGTTTCAGGGTAGATTTTTCCCCAAGCTGTATCTGGATATTTCTCATATTACGTGGAGCCTCCCATCCAAGAACTGTTACTTCTGAGAATATTTATGGTGGTATGATATCCTAAGACAGTGGTTCTCAACCTTTGGGTCCCCAGATGTTTTGGTCTTCAACTCCCAGAAATCCTAACAGCTGGTAAACTGGCTGGGATTCCTGGGAGTTGTAGGCCAAAACACCTGGGGACCCACAGGTTGAGAGCCACTGTACTAAAACAATTCTGTGCAAATACAATTCCCAAGACAACCTAATTTTTCATTGCATGTTCATGCTTTTGTTTAATCCCCTCAGACTCTTTTTTATTATCAGTGTTTTTGTCTTCATGCTTATATAAAGATAAGTGAAGATAGTTGTTCTTAGTTTTGAACTCCAAATGAGTGGATGATGGATGAGATAAGGAGCCATATAGACTACCATCAGTATAAAATGGGTGCCAGGTTAAAGTTATGTTACTGGAGCAATGCTCATTTCAGAGTTCCGATGAAATCAGCTGATACAATTCTTAGTAAACATACATTTTGATTCTGACTGCCTGCATATGTACTGGACAATATTTAGCAATTTGTACTTATTTTAGGATACTTCTATATGGTTCACTACTGTTTGGCAGTGCTATATATGGTTGGTTCATACTGTACCGTATGTTGTCTCAGAAAAGTAGGTATTCTTGTTAAACTGCATTTCAATTGCAGTGACAGATTATTTCTGATTTGAATTTTAGCTAATTAATTGGTACAGCATCACTTCCTCTTTTTAAAGACATAACAACTATGCAGTTTTTGTTAATGATTAAATTAAAGCCCCATGCATACTTGAAGGTAATAGGTATATGATAATTATCTCTATTCTCCTGTTTGGATCCCATTTTTTTTTCTTTGTTTCTTGAGATGATACTCAGATGACCTTTTTAAATTTGCTTGAACACCTTAATCAAAGATAACACATTGCCCAGTAAGTCATTGAGGTGAACAAAATGGTCTTATCTAGAATAGTCTGTTTCACACTTAAAATATTTGCCATAGCACAGATAATATACCTGTTCAAGCACTGATGTGCATTTTTCATACTAATATTTTTTGCCAATCAAATGGTATTTGCAACATTTTCACCTATTGATTGCTGTTGATAAAATTGCTATTGACTTTTCAAAGCAGTCTTCTTTTAGATTACCTCCATGGATTTTAAATGTCATCCTAGAGCATTTTTTCATAGTATTGTACTTTCAGTCTATATTTACCATAGAGAGTTTTGCAGATAAAACCTTTCAGTACATATGACCTTGACTCCTGTAAAAGTCATAACTTGATTGGCTTTTAGCTTTTGCCAATACTGTTGGCAGCAAACCAAAACAGTGTATTTGAAGAATTGATGTATATAATTTATGTCAGGAGATTGTAACTACAGTTGCTTCTGCTTCACTTTAACTGTCTCATCATCTTTGGACTTTGGGTTGTTCTCATTGATCGCCAGCATGAGCCAATGGTAATGGTGATTGGGCTTGAGCTGCTCTTTGATATTCTTTATGCGGACAAGAAATAGACAATGGAATTAAAAGCTCTTATTGCTTCTTCACAAGTGATGTTGGAAATGACCTATTCCTTCATAATTTCTTAAAATCCTCTTTTGTCTGTACAATGTGATGGCAGGTGTATAACTGATGAGGAATGATACCTGCAGATTGTGCTTGCATTGTCCCTCACAGATTTCTGAATTATGTTGCTCTTCTTCCAAATCCTGTTTAATTTGAGGGGTGCTGGTATTTTGGGGACTGTATTGATGGGAATATTTTTTACAGGCAGGGATGGGGTGTTCTGGCCTTCAATATGTTATCAGACTACAACTGTTACCCTGCCTATAATGCCTGAGGCTGATGAGAGTTGGAATCTAACATCCGAAAAACCATAGGTTTTTTCCAGTCTGTTCAAATACTGTAAATTTTCAGCAATCTATATTTGGCCGCAGATAGATGGCTATACTTAGTATCATTTCTACCATTCATGGTCTGAGTACTTTCATTTAGATACAGATACATTTCTTTTAACAAAATCTCTGAAAAAGAAGCTCCTTTTTACAGTTTTTTTAAAAAATATCAACCCAGCTCTTTCTTTTCTTCCTTGTCTTCTGTCTAGCTGGAGGAACTGTTTTTAGCAACAGCGGGAGGGTAATGAAGGAGAACTAGAGATACATGGACTTTCTATTTACTGCAGGCAGTGTGCCTGCAGTAAATAATGCAATAATGTTTCAACTGGGAAAGAATGAGATTCTGTTCTAGCCAATCCTAGTGTTGCTGTGCATACCTCACATCAACAGGTAAGGCAAAAGGCTTCCTTCGGAATCCCTTACTGAGCAGGCATGAACAGCCAAACAGAGAGAAAGAGATAAACAGATAAAACTGACTCATCAGCTTCCATCAGCATTTTGAAAAAGCATAGATAAATAAGTTTGCCCCCCAAAAGAGAAGTCATAAAAAGTACAAGCTGTGAAAGAAAACAATTATCCTTGGGTGCACTTTGGAAAAGCGTCAAGTAGTCTCCTGTGCAAAGCTTACCTTCTGGCCTCATTGCTTTATTTCACGTGAGCGTATTGTTCGTTTTGGATAAAACGTTGGACTATACATGGTTGAACTATTTTTGAGAACTTATACCTATTCTGGGGTCCCCCTGGTGGCGCAGTGGGGTAAACCGCTGAACTGCTGAACTTGCTGACTAAAAGGTTAGCGATTCGAATGTGCTGTTAGCCCCAGCTTCTGCCAACCTACCAGTTTGAAAACATTCAGTAGGTACTGCCTTGGCGGGAAGGTAACGGCGCGCCAGACAGTCATGTTGGCCACATGACCTTGGAGGTGTCTATGGACAACATTGGCTCTTTGGCTTAGAAGTGGAGATGAGCGCCGCCCCCCAGAGTCAGACACAACTAGACTTAATGTCAGGGGAAACCTTTACTTATTCTATCAATATTATTTCTGTATCTGGTGTCCAGAAACACATCTGTTTTGGTAACTGAGGTATATCTGTATTTAAATCATGAGATCATGCTCAGATTTTGTTGTGTACAGTTTTTTTCACAACTTATTATGACATTTTTATTTTGTAATATGTAACTAATATTTCTTCGAGGAGTAAAGAGTAAATAGTAAAAGGCCTTTAAAGCCTTCTAATAGATTTTCAAAACACTTTAGTTTGATATTATGAAAGAATATATGTTTGATAGATAGCATTGAAAGAAATTGTACTAGAATATCAGCATTCTCAATTAAAACTGAGTAACAACTGAATTGATTAAAATATTGAATTTGTGAAAGAACTGTGTGTAGTACAATACTTTTATATATCCAAAATACATTAAAACAGCTTCAATATTGAAAACAGTTTTTTTTCCAAGATAGACCTCTGCAATTTTAATAGCAGGGCTTATAGATCACATTGTTCAGTGCTGCTCAACAGTTTCACTTACATCCTGCTAATTTTGGCTTTGAATCATACACGCTCAACTGAACAGGGTGTTAATGATAAACAATGCTGCTTTGAAATACTTTGAACTTTTTTGTCTACACTGTGACACATGCATACCAATCAGAAATGCCATGTATATAGATAAATTATGCAGATGGACAAAGCTGGGTATGTGATAAACTTAAAATCTGTGAAACACAAAGAGGTACTTGAATCAACCCTGGTGATCAATGGGGTGACAGATGTCACAGCCAGATCGCCCTCACATCCGACAAAGAGGTACTCATTGTTTGTACTGTTTTAAAAATCATCATAAATACTGAAATTAAGGTAGCCATTTGTTTTCTTGTTGCCAGGAAATTTGTGGCATGGCTTCTATAAAGTGAAAGACATCCTAATAAACATGCATATGGAAAAATGCAAATTATGCATATCCGTAATGACTTTTTTGTCCTTGTTATATTAGTTGCATGATTCATCACTTTCATTCTATAGCTCTAATAACTTGCATACGGTTATTTATTTTCACAAGTTGTGCTTAAATGCAAATATCTGAGGTAAAATCTTAGAGGGTATGCTTAAACGGGTATGTGAAAAAGCAAACTGCCTTGTTAGATAGATACATCTTTTGTTATTTGTTTGGAATTACCATATATACTAATGCAGGAACCTAACATGAAGGCTGTGGCAAGAGGTAAAGGTGAGGAGCCACTATGGATATGGTATGCAATGAAGCAATACTTCAGTTCCTTTACCCTCTCTTTCCCAAATCAGGGGGAAAGGCAGCCTTCCCTCTTTCCTGCCTTATCTACTTTTTTAAAAAATTGAGTGGCTTTTAGTAGCACCACGGGATTACAGGCCTTTTTGAATGCCTGCCTGAGAAAATGGTGGTGGCTGTGGGTGTCTGACTCTCTAAGTTGATGCTTGACCCTCAACTTGTCTACGGGTTATATCAAAATCCGTAATTTTTGCCCTCAAAACATCCTGATGACTTATATACGAGATGGACATATGTGCACTTGCCATTTATGAAGGTGATGGTGTCAGCGAATGGAAAAATTGAGAAGCTAAAGGTTTGGTCTACTGTTCTGAAGACTTGCATTGTTTAAATTGCTTTTAACCTGAGGAACTCGGAGTCCACTTCTGTGTATGTATTTCATTTCATTCTGCCACTTTCCCGATTGGGATCCAAAACAACTCTCTCACATTTTAAATCAAAAGTTGCATGTGGCATTGGAGAAAGTGCTATTATTTCAAGAGTTTTCCTCAGATATAATTGCTGCTTTCCTTTTTTGTGTTTTCTAAAGGTCTAGATATCTTTCTGATAGTGACCTTTATTTATTTCATTGTTTATATAGGTACAGATGGGCCTGGTGTCAGCCTATCAGAGGAAAGGCAGAGTCCTGCTGAAAGTGGATGTGTTTCAGTCATCTATAACCCCTATGTTTCCCTTTCTATTGAACAACAGAGGCAAAAGCTACCAGTTTTTAAGGTATAAACTTCTTTTGCTACTTTGAACTGAGTTAATGTAAACATTATTGTTCATCTGTCTATTTGCTATTTTACTGTTTAAATTTATTTTGTATCATGAATATTGATAATATCACAAGGCAGTTGGTACCATTTTCATTCATTATAGGCCTTTGTTGGGTTCAGTCAAGGCTGTGCAGGATTGTTTGCTTTTTGGTTTATATTGTATATCTGTTAGCTTTATGTTCTGTTAGATTATATTGTTTTGTTGTAATATTTTAGTACTTTTAATGTTATGTTTTAACTGTGCTGTATAGCACTTAGAAAAATCCTAAGAAGTGTAATAAATAATCACATGCTATAATATTGTGCATTTGATACGTAGGTCCTGTCAAAGTCATAAAGGCGTGTGCTTGAGTTGATGTTTATCCGATTGTGTAGAAAAGAAACAATGTCCATATAGTATTGTCAGTTATTATATATTGTCTTCATTTCTGTAATATGTCTTTTTTATAAATCACATCTAAATATAATTTTTGTTTTGTTTTAGCTGAGAAATCACATCCTTTATCTGGTAGAGAACTATCAGACATTGGTCATTGTTGGAGAAACAGGATGTGGGAAAAGCACCCAGATTCCTCAAGTGAGTGTGAAATAAATAATTATTTATTAAAACAGTTTACACTCTACCCTTCAGTGACATTCCCAGGATTACAGAAAGTACAGGCTGAGGCAGCATAACTTCATTTTTTCAAAACTTAATAAAACCCATTGTATGAATCAGAAAATTTTCTTTTCTTTTTTATAATGTAGGTGCATACCTAAAGTTTTATTTTATGTAGTTTTGAAGATCAAATTAGGTAGGTGACGTCCTCCATTCTCCATTCTCCATACACTGAGTAAACCGATTTCTGGTGTTTGTCATTACTCTTGCCAGCATAGCAGGCGTTATGTTGGCAATTTCATCCTGGCTGTTGGTCTTCAAATCTTGTAGGGTCCTTGGACGGTTCACATAAACTCGGGATTTCAAAAAACCCCATAGAAAAAAATCACAATGGGCCAAATCTGGAGAGTGGGCCGGCCACTCCAAATCTGCTCGAAAAGCAGGTCTCAATGGCAAAAGCACGCTCCTCACTGTTCCAATGCATGATGGTGACTGAACTGTGTCAGGACAAAACTTAATACTCCCGCCTCTCGAATGAGACCACTAGCTCTCCGCTACGTCTTCAACCGACTGAATGGCGCGCATTTTAAAAAAGGAAGTTATGATGCCTCACCCTGTATAAGAATAGAGTCAGCAAATTCTAACAAAAATTGTAAGTGCTAGACCAATCTTCCTTAGGAAAGTATTCTGCAATTAGGAAAAAAAACAGTATAAAGACCCCTTCAATCATACTTAGAGGAGATCCATTGATATTATTGAGATTTGATGCAGTCATGATTTATTGGGCCAAGGTTTTCAATTCATCTGAAGTATACATGACCACATCTGGATCCAACCCATTGTACTGGAATTAAAGCCAAATGTCTGCACACAGCTGCATCCTTCAAAATCTATCCTACAAATTTAAATTTAGACTAATAGTATGTGCAGGTACTTACACCGAGTCATTATCTTCTAGCAAAGAACACAATTTTATTCTTCAATATGTTTTCTACTAATGAAAATATTTTTCTTTTATTTATTATGTCTCATAGTTTTATTTCTTCCACATAGATCAATTTATGCAACACTTTCCTTTCATTTTATTTAACAACCAAAAAAGGATTGAATCTTGATTTTATTCCCTGCAGCAAAAGTGCTTCCTGATTAGCGTTCCCATGAGGAAGCTCTGGCAGCAGCAGGAATGAGATCTGGAGGGAATTTTCTTCATTTCTCTCCTTTCCCTGCTTTCCCTACTTTTAAGAAGGAACCACCCCCACAAGCCCTTACAGCAGATTGTGGGCTGGGACAGAAATGGCAGAGACCTGGGGAGTAGGAGTGGGGGTGGGTGGGTGTCTACTGCTAGTCTGTTCTGCTGCCAGAGATTTTCCTCTTATGACACAGGCCTGTACTTAAAATCCACTCCATTTCATTTGTGAAAGTCAAGTTCAGGGATTTTGAGCCCAACAAATAAGTTTGGTTTCAGAGATGTTTTCAAGACGCAGGCAAAATATTGGGATGAAATTTGATCTATATTTTATCTCAAATGATTTACTGCCAGTAACTAAGCCTTAAGGGAGACATTTCATCTTTTTAGAATGGGGAAGAGCTTGCTGAATAATAGCTGGGAAACCATCAGATGATGGTATTGTGGTGAAGAGGGGATGTACATTTGGGAAGAGGCCATTCAGGGAAGCCTTGGGGGTCAATTTGATTCCCATATGTGAGGTCTTACATTCCCTGATCTAGATTCAAGTCTTGTGTGAATAATGTTAAGCTGGAAGGTAGTAGCTACCCTAATGGTATGATAATTCTAAGGTTAGGAGATAATTTTTTCTTCCTAAAATCTATCTGTTTTTTCTGGGAGGTATTTTAAAAAGTTATAGTTTGTTTATAACATAGTTTTACTAATTATAGAAGCACATAGAGGGTGGTTGACTTAATTTTACTACTTTATTATTTGCTGTGAAGATGTAACAGGAAGAAATAAAAGAAGCTTGAAACAGATAGTAATTTAGAATTGTGCATTCTTCCCCATTCCAGTATCTAATGGAAGCTGGCTGGACTGCTGAAGGTCGAGTAGTGGGAGTAACGCAGCCTCGCAGAGTTGCATGTGTTTCAGTGAGTCCTTCCACTTTTTATAACAAATATGATAAATATGTCCCCCATTTCTATAAGATTTTGCCATTTCTATAACACTTGCAATTTGCATGGTCCAATAAATGATCCAATATAAAGTTAAGCATTCTTGAGTATCATTAAATATTATGGAATGTAGAGTTGTGGAACAGTAATGTGGAGACCAGTTCCAAAAACCACCATTGGTTTCAACCAGAGTGGGATTTCTAAAGCATTCCTTGGGCTGAAATGTTTGGTAATGTCACTCTCTATCACTTCACTTACTCCTTCTGCATCTATCCAAATTAGGACAATGCTCTAATTCTATCAGTCAGAAATCAAAGGCTATAGTGTGATGTATTCTTCAAAGGTATAACCATTCACCAATTCTTTGTTGTAATTGACTTGCAAATTGTATTGTATAGACAGTTCCAAAAAGGAAATATTATTACTTGTGGCTAGGATGTTTATAAGGCTCATGCAGGCCACTATGACTGCTAATAAGCAGATCATGCTATCCTGGGGCTACATCTTGTACAATGGTTGCTCAGCCAAAGTCAAAATGCTGAGTAGTAATTGAGAGAATACATTTATTATAAAATACCTGCCTGCTGTATAAATTACCTTATGCTGCAGTGAAGTGCCAGATAGGCGTTTGTTTTATTTATTTAATTTAAAGATTGGTATGTTTCATTCTAAGGTGGTGAATAACGCATATAATAATTATATGCAATATGTAATAAAACAGCTAAAACATTTTATCCACATTAATGCTATTTAAGCATTGTTTACATAAAGTAACTGGGAATATAAATCTCTTCAATGGAATTTACAGTTTTCTGGTTTAGATTTCACTTATAACTCTTTAGGAGGGCAATGCATTCCTGAAGTAATGCCACTGGGGGGGAAAAAGGGGGGGGGTCCTTTAAAAAATCCTTCTGTTAAGGAAAGAAAAGCATCTTTTCTGCTTTTTGAGAGACTGTTCCAGCAACACTGGCCTTCTGATGTAGGGAACATAACTGCAGCTATAGAAATCCCCAAAGAGGGAAGCCCCCAACATATAATGCAGTGGTTCTCAACCTGTGGGTCCCCAGGTGTTTTGGCCTACAACTCCCAGAAATCCCAGCCAGTTTACCAGCTGTTAGGATTTCTTGGAGTTGAAGGCCAAAACATCTGAGGACCCACAGGTTGAGAACCACTGATATAAGGGATTCAGAAAAAAATACTCAATTTATATTTGTAATAACCTTTTTTCATAATAAATTTGAAATAGTCAATGAGTTGAAATTCAGAAATTCTAAACTTACTTAATATCTGCAAGTGTTTCATATGATTTTTTCTATAAGATTGCAGGCCGAGTAGCTGAGGAAAGGGGTGCCTTGCTGGGCCATGAAGTAGGATATTGCATCCGATTCGATGATTGTACTGATCCTCAGGCAACAAGAATCAAGGTGATAATATTGAAAGAAATTGCTTGCATCAATTGTTGGTTACAGTTTTGAATTAATTTTCAAGGGAAGAAACATAGTAGTGGAAAGCTATCATATTTTGTTGGAATAGTGAGTAGATTCCTCCCCAAACCCTTGGGGATACTAGAACAGATTTTGGCTGCTCCTTGTGTCCTATTATTAAAAAGAAACCAAATTATGAATGGGCTAAAAAGAGGGAAGGAGCAAAAATATCTCACAAAGAGATACAGGCTCCATTTTTATTTCTGGTTCTGTGAGCTATGGCAAGATTCATTGTTGTTCATTTCTGAACTTTCAAAATGAGTATTGTTCACTGTTCAGACCTTAGGCTCCAAAATGAAACCCTGACAGCACATGATGTTATAGTAGTTTGTGAGAAGAATGCTCCCTGTCGTGGTTGGATGTTTTTACATTCTAGCCTTAATTTCTTTTGATACCAATTAGATCTATGCAAGGCAGTGACTATACCAGTGATCTGGTTTCAATGTGAAATTCTGGGCATTGTGTACAACAAATGTGTATTGGACCTCAATATGGAAGAACTCCCTATCACATTTGTTGTAGCTTATATCTTTAATAATTCCATATAAGTTTCTTCTTCTACAGCTATAGAAATTTGCATCCATTCCAATATGTCCTAAAGCAATAAAAGGATACCAGTTCTGTGTTCTATAAATAGCACCATAAGAGTTGAAGTAAAAATTAATAGGCAGATAGTTGCAATAGTCAGTGCTCCTGTTCACTGCACCAGTTATACCCTTCTCCATCAAGTTTCTCATCTAACTCTGTTTCTTGTAGTCGATAGTGAGTCAGCATTGGCCCGGTAGGTTTTTTTTTCTTGTACTTCACACCTAGTTTGTTTGCCAGTGACTACAAAATAATTTGCATTCACTTCTGAACACAATAAGTAAAAGGAACTTATTTTGCCATTCAGAGATTTGTTTGGGTATTTTCTGGATACATATTACATTTGTTTCTGTATTTTAGTTCCTGACTGATGGAATGCTGGTGAGGGAAATGATGGCTGACCCATTATTAACACGATACAGGTAAACGGGGTAACAGTGATTTTAATCTTTTCTATATTGATGACATGAGCCTCTTTTCTTCATATGTATCTAGTTAACTTCCTGTCCTGTCCTGGGTTTTAGAAAGGATGCTAATTTGATTGGCAGTGATTTTTTTGTTGTTTTGCTTCATACTTAAGAATATATCACAGTAGTAAAACATTAGAATGTTATTCATGAGGTTTTACAACATACTTTGTGTCTCCTTTCCTCCCTTCCTTGGTTTATCACAGGGTTTTATTTAGCAGTGCCTACTACTTTTCAGGCTAAAGACCACACAAAATTGTTATAAAATGCACTATGAACCACAAAGTGCAGCATATCAGATGGAAAGCCAGATGAAATACACCATTGAATTGAATATGCTGAAAGACATGGCTAAATAAAAAGTCACTCCTATTGCAGTGAAGAGACACATAGTGCCAGTCAAGCATTACTAAGAAAACATTCTAAAACTGGGATACCACAAATCAGGGCTTTCCTTATGTCACCTTCAGATTCACAGAATGGCTTCTTAAAAGGGCACCGGTAAGAGGTGGCAGTTCTTCAGCTATTCTGGTCCCAAACCCTTTCTGCTTTCAAAGGTGGAGATGATTCCTAAAATTGGAAGGGACTAGGTATCTATGCAGTTCTAAAATAGGCAAGAGAAGTTTCACACATTGGCCTCAGAATAGCCTGTGTGCCCTAAGTTTCACTAGCGGAACTTTCTGAATTACCTTCATCTGTAATTGCAGTATTCTAAACTTTGTGAGCTACCTTCAAGGACTGTCTTATCTGCAATCCCAGTAATGCAATTGGTTTGTTGCCAGTATGTGAATAATTGTCCTCAGGCTGTCTCTGTATATAAGATACTGCAGCTGATTTGAACTTACAGAGGCAGGGCTGAATCTCATAGCATCCTCAAATTGCAGACCTGCTGTTTAAGAAGATTACCATCCTAGTCAAAAGAGATCATCAGCCACCTCAATCTGTAAACATCTCTTCTATCACTCTGAATTCAGTTTATAAGTCCCATTAGCTCAGTTACTCAACTTGAGTACCAGTTCAATATTTTGAAGCATTATCTGCATTAAAAATGGTGTGTGTGTGTGTGTGGGGGGGGGGGGGGGGGGGGGGGGGGGGGGGGGAGAAACAGCATTGGATGTGCTAATTTTAGTCCAGATTTCCACAGACGTTTTGTGGGAAACCATAGAATATATGGTAGTAATTTCTTTTTAAGAAAACCCTCTGGCCCACAAGTCATTTTGCAACCCTATATATATTTGGAAGAATGATTAGCTTTTAAGACTTAAATGTCTTTCATAGAATCAAAGAGTTGGAAGAGACCTCATGGGCCATCCAGTCCAACCCCCTGCCAAGAAGCAGGAATATTGCATTCAAATCACCCCTGACAGATGGCCATCCAGCCTCTGTTTAAAAGCTTCCAAAGAAGGAGCCTCCACCACACTCCGGGGCAGAGAGTTCCACTGCTGAACGGCTCTCACAGTCAGGAAGTTTTTCCTCATGTTCAGATGGAATCTCCTCTCTTGTAGTTTGATCTCCTCTCTTGTAGTATACTATAGGGGTTTCCCCAGTATGTTTTAGGCCCCAGAGAGTTTTTATTTTGAAATCAGGAAGTAAATGTAAAGAGCATTGCAGACATGTTGAGTATTTTTTAAAAATAAAAATAAAAATCGGAAGATATGCACACAGTGGGGAAAGTATCTTCAAGCTCTAGTTAGGAGACAGGTAATTGCCCACCAGTGCCGTGTTTCTCTTCCTCCTCTGAGCCTTGGGAAGGCAGGCCATCTTCTCTGGACTCAGAGGGAAAGCGGGGGGGGGGGGGGGGGGGAGAAACACAGTGCTGGCAAGACAGCTATCTCCAGTGCTGTGGCATTCCTTCTCCTCTAAGCCTTGGGAAGGTGGTGCAACCCAGGCTTAGAGGAAAAGTGGGGGAGAAATAGGGCTCTGGAGTAAGGGTTCTCCAGCTCTGTGTTTCTTCTTCTCCTTTGAGGCTTGGGAAGGTGATGCGCCTTTCCCAGACTTAGAGGAAAAGTGGGGGGAAAGCACGGTGCTGGTGGAAATGCTCTTGCCAGTGCTGAGTGTCTCCTCCTCCTCCTCCCAGATCACCTCCTCCTGTCCCAACCCCATCCTTTCCCATCCCCAGCTGTTCCAGCCCATGTCTGGGCCCAGCCCTGGCCCTTCTGGCTCCAGCCCCATCCCTTCTACCCCCATCTTGCAAGTGGGCCCAGAAGGCAGCTCCAGGGCAAAAAGGTTTGCCCATGCCAGGTCTAGAATCAACCGTGAAATCAGGAACACAACCATTTAAAAATGGTGCCCAGGTTCTATCCAGAAAGTTGGTGATATGCATGGATGTATGTTGTTGTCAAGTCAAAAATCTTCATTGCTTACAGTAAAGGAAATTGGCTGACCTGCTCCATTAGTTGCATTTCCTGAGTTATTTACACAGTGGTGCTTCCTTGATGGCTATTGCAGATCAGTTGAAGTTTTTAAATCCTGTAAATCAAAAATGTATGACTTCTAATAATAGTTTGCATAGCTATTCTATAATTATCTAACTGGGATTATTATACAATGAATTATATTTGCTAATTCTTATCTCATAGAATCATAGAGTTGGAAGAGGCCATATAGGCCATCTAGTCCAACCTCCTGCCATGCAGGAAAATGAACTTTATGCTTTTTGCTTTGTTTCAGTGTAATCATGTTGGATGAAGCCCATGAAAGAACCTTATATACAGACATTGCCATTGGTTTGCTAAAAAAGGTCAGAATTTCCTAATACATTTCTGTTTTGTCACCCTTCCTTTAACAGTGGGAAGAAAAGAATATGGAATTGCAATGCTTGTAGCTGAAATCCGTTAATATTGCTATTAGACTGCCAACAGCTGTGAGCCTGTTACCATCAACATCACAGGGTGCCATTTTCTAGCAATGTCCTTTTCTTTTCATTTGCTGTTCTGAGAGATTGCAGACGGCACTAATTCTGAGTTAATTCCTTTAAAAATATACACTTTGTTAGAATACAGTTGTCTCCTCCACATTTGCAGTTTTGATTATTCATATATTTGATTAAAATGTTCTCATCTCTACACCCTCTAGTGTGATTTCTTTTGTCAGTTTTGGTCAGTCTGGGGGACCAAGAAATTCTTAGAGAGAACATCTTTCTAAGAATCTCTAGATCCTCTAGTATGATTCTATGGTCAGTTTACAGTGGAAGTCAACCATAAAGTCATGCTAAGACCTACAAATTCTTAAAGAGGTGTTTTCTCAGTATTTTTTAAAACAGTATCTTCATTTGTTTTTCACTTTCACATGGGGTTTTGTGCTCCCAACCCCAGTAAATGTGGAGGGCTGACTGCAATTTTTTTTTAAGCGGAAATAGAAAAATCTGTACTTTAACTATAGTTGGTAGTTTGCAAGGCTTTAAGATAAACAGTTGTTGGGTTGTTTCATAAAACTTGTTTATGGATTCTCTTGCAATCTGTTTAATACTTTAAAACTGTTTAATAATCAGGGAAAGATAAATCAACAGTGAAAAGCAGTTTTAGTGATATCCCACTTCTCTAATCTGGTTTATACTGGCTGAAGGCATGCTCCTTTTCTCAGTCAGACACGGATGAGTAGATCACTCTTGGTACACATATACCCATATTTTGAAAGGCTTCATATTTATATGAAGTTTGCATTTTACACAAATTATACAAACAATTATTAGATTTGAGAATGTTTGGCCATAACTGAGTAAGTTTTACATTTTTCTCTACTGCATTTTACAGGTTCAAAAGAAGCGAGGAGATCTTCGTCTAATTGTAGCATCGGCCACACTTGACGCAGAGGTAGTTCTGATAGATTTGATTTAAACAATGCTCAGGGGTTCTTAATTTCAACTGCCATTCTTGTTTGGTCTTGTACCTTTATGATTCACAGTTTTCAGTTACAGAAGTGCCATTTACTGAGAACATGTGCTAGCTAGACCCAAGTCTCATAACAAAGGCTGATAAACTATGTAACAAAATTTGAATTCTTTTCTGTTCCTGATTTGAAGTAGTTATTATACTCCAGAAACTTTGTTTTTGTGGCTGCCACAAACTATGTTGCATTGGTTGAGACTCTTTGAGACATTCATTGAAAAACTATAGCAAAATGTGCTGCAGGATGTCCTACAAAAAACAATGTTTTTTCCATGTTTTTGTGATAGAACCAATTAGAAAATGACATTTATAACACAGGAACAAACATAGTGTAATTTTTGCTCTTAATGCTAGCTTTGTTCCTTAATTATTGCTCATATGTGTTCAAAGATAGATAGATAGATAGATAGATAGATAGATAGATAGACAGACAGACAGACAGACAGACAGACAGACAAATATCATTTCCTATTGCAGTACTGTTGGAAAAAATGGTTAACTATTTGTTGTTGTTTCTTGATCTTATGAGCAAGTTTCTATCTTGGGTTTACCAAGCCGCCCTGAGTCTCCCTGGGGAGATGGTGGCGAGGTCTAAATAAAGTTTAATAAATAAAGTTTAATAATTTGTTTAATAAATGCCTCTTGTTAAATCAAATAAACAGAAATATTAATGGTAATAGTAATCAGTAGCAGAATTAGTAGTAATACTTTTAAAATAACTCAGGGTCTCTGTACAAACATACTAAATGCATACTGCTTTGAAAATGTGTTGCTAAGATTAAAATCTCATTTTTCAGAAAATAACTAATATCCATAGCCTAAATCCAATCATTGGATTCATTAAATCCAGTTGCTAGACTTGTTAAATTAATGAAAGCCAAAACAATGGATCTGTTCTAGTTAGGAACCTTGGATTTAGATACAGGTTGATAATTTAAAGTGGCCTCAGTCTCCCAATCTTCTGTACGTCTATTTCCTTTCAGTGATGGTGGTGCTGATTTACTATCTTTATCCTAGAAATTTAGGGATTTCTTTAACCAAAATGAGACCAGTGACCCAAGCAAAGATACCAGCATGATCCTAACTGTGGAAGGCCGAACATTTCCAGTGGATGTCTTCTACATTCAGAGGTCTGTTCCTGTTTAATGCTTGTAAGTGGTGGCTGGAGGAACATGTAACTTTGCTACCCACTTGTCAACCAAGTTTGGGTGGGAAGGGAGCATAAGTATTATTATTTATTTATGTTTTTCTTTTAAAGGAATGTTTCACATGGGCTTCGGTACCAACACGTAAAGGATGTACTCCTAAGTCTGTTTTCCAATTGAATGTGTCTTTCTCCTATTTTGTGAGCAACAGGCGCAGACTTCAGTGGAGGAGGGCTTCGGGAACCTTCCCCCGTCCCCTTCTGCACCGGCCAGCTGGAGCAGACTTCAGACGAGTGCTACGGGGACTCGGTGGAATCTTCATGCTTTTCCTCCCCTGGAATCTTAGTCCTCCCCTTCCCCCTCCACAGAAGGGATATGGGCAAACCTGGCAGCACCTTCATGCCCTCTCTCCTCCTCCACAAAAGGAGATGGACAGGTCCGATGGCAGAAGTGGGCTTGTTTTTTTAACCCCACACACACAGTTCTTACTTTTGCCCTTGTGCTGAGCAAGGAAATGTGGGTGTCATAGGTGGATAACCATATGCTTATAAATCGTGTCCCGTTGTGATCTTCAAACCTCAGTACTATTACAACTGAGGAGTGTTCAGATAATTGTGATGAAGTTTTCTGAAAGAATAGCCACATTAGGTCTTGTGGCCACTTTATAGTTAAAAAATTGTTATGGTATGAGTTAGGTTAGTGCCTCTTTGAATAAATGTAGAAAATGGTATGTATATGTAAGTATGGGTACAGTAAAATGATTATTTGTTTGAAGAGACTGACTGTTATGGCTGCATTGGTGGTGTGGGTTTTCTACCACCTCAAAGGATTCATTTGCAAATCTGTGATAGAAAACTAGGATAGCTGGTTTATTCTACTAGAGTTCTATTATAAAAAATGGGCTTGTAACCAGTGCATGTATTTTTACATCAGTGCTGTTCGGATACCAGCTTCAGGAAATATATCAAAAACCGCCTGATTAGTAGGCATGGTGCACTCATTGGATAGCATAAATGGCAACAACACGAAAAGTTTAAGGTTTATGGAAGTTCTATATCTGTGATGATCAGAAACGTAAGAATCATTATCTAGTCATGCTGAACATTCTTGTGTGATCCAGCCCATTTTTTTTTACATTTCTGAAAACAGTGCTCTTGCTTATTGTCTATGCCAAGACAACATTTCAAAATATATTTGTCTAGTTTTTAATCCTTTCTGTGGAAATACTACATTTTCTAAACCCATGACCCTCAATATGTTATATAAAAACCTATTGAAATGTTTAAATGTTTGTGAAATCCGTATCTTTGTGTAAAAGAGGTATTAAAAGAATTTGTGGGAACACGAAAGGAAGAAGCAAAATAACAGGATGATTTTGAAGCATTGAAGAAGGATCCGCTTCCTGTAATTTGTTTCTAATATTGTAACATATAGTTAAACTCTTACAAGGATGTGATTTATTTATGCTATTTATAGAAGCCAACTTTATATTTTGGGATTTTTGTCTTCGGTGATAAGAGGAAGACACATATAGGTACTTGTTTTTAAGATGTGTGCATATGTTTTCTCCAACAGTCCTGTTCCAGATTATGTGAAATCAACTGTGGAAACTGTCATGAAAATTCATCAGACAGAAGGTGATGGGGATATTCTGGCATTTTTAACTGGCCAGGTAGACACAACAGAAATGTTTGTCCTGTTGATTGTTGTTTTGGTGTAAGGCGTTGGTATAAATCCTGGGTAACACTAGCACAGAAGTGGACATGGGTGTGCATGAAAGACCAATTTCAGTTTTAAAAAGTCAAAAAAACAGAAACAGATGTCGCCAGAGGTCTACTTGCCACTCTGGAAAATTGATGCTTTTGATATTATGCAGTGTACGGAGCCCTGAAACCTGTTTAAAAAGTGAATTGCCACCAGTGAGAGCTTCTAAAATGAAGAATTCGCCTGAATAATTAAAGAGTCACAAAAGCAGCACTGGGGGCGTTTTAACCTTGAGGCTACTCCTTGCTCATCTCTGTGCTAATCAGATGAAAATCCCCACTATTGCATGCACTGAATTAGGCTAATGTTCAAATGGTTGTGCAGCAAGTTTGACTTTCTTATATGATAATTTTCTCTGATGCAATCCTTTCCACTCACTAGTGTTCTAGTGTTTGGCATGTTTGATCAGGTCCTTCTGCACTTATGCTTCAGTTTCAAATAATCAAAGTAGTGACATGTGAAAAACAGGAATTGTGAGACACAGAAGAGCAATAGCTTTCTCTGTCATTCTTGTCTAGCAACGTGTTTTTCTATCTGGAATATAAAATGAGGAAGTTTTAGCATCAGAATATTATGCTAAAATATTCTTATTTTATTATTTTCCTGATCGGACCTGCACTAGAGAGACCTTCTAATCCTAAATTTCCAAAAAATGTAGTACTTATTTTTTTTAATGTAAACCTGAGAAATGTACAGTGAAACACCTTGGCCAACATAGAATATCCATGATAATACTTTTGTCTTAGGTACATGAACTTTATGCCAAATGCTTAATTTGAGTGATGTCTACCTATCCAAGGGAGCCAACAGGGAGCTCTGGCATGGGCTGGTCCATGAGGGCACGAAGAGTCCGAAGCAACTGAATGAGTAAACAACAATAAACAACTTCCTATCCAAATCCAAATATATTTAATCAAGACTAGTAGAAAAAAATATGTTTGCAATAATGTGATATTCTGGGTATCCATATCACATTATTACAAATTCCTAGTAACGCCTCAATAACGTTGAAGCTTCCAATTGCAAACAACCCAGAATATTCCTCCAAAGTCCCTCTTGATTAAACGAAATAGTTTGTATGAAATACCAAAATGAGTGAAGTTGGAATAATTAGATATGAGAAGGTGTTATATTAGAGGTACGTCAAAAAGGCCATAATATCTGAATAGCAGTCCAGCCAGAAAAAAAGAAGAAATGTGCAGATGATTTAGGCATCTATATTTTTGTGTTTGAAGCAGACATTTTGTAACTAAAGATTCAGGTACTGGTTGTTACACAATCTTCTGTTGTGCTATCTTGTTCTGAAATTGGCTTTCGAATGGGAAAAAAGTTTAATTTTCTGCCTAAAATCCATCTTCAATGCTCAGCTTTGTGTTTTTTTTAAAAAAGATAATAAAACAGGAAGAAAAGCTAACAAGAGTCAATTCAATGTTGTCTATGAGCATATCTTAATTCTTGTGATATAGCCTTGAACTAAATTTATTTTGATCTTTCTTTTATCTTGATGCCTTTCTAGGAGGAGGTTGAAACTGTTGTTTCAATGCTGATAGAACAAGCACGGATCCTTGCTCGCACAGGAATGAAGAAACACCTGCGTGTTCTTCCTATGTATGCTGGGTTGCCTGCTTCTGAACAGATGAAAGTTTTTGAGCGGGTATCTCATAATGTTAGAAAGGTAAAGCCACTTCCAGTGTTGTTGTCATGAATGTAGTTTCATTAGGCATCATGCTTGTATTCTGGTTGTTTAACAGTATAACAACCACCTTCCCACAGTGTATTTGGCAACCTACCCTTTGGAGGTTTTTTGGGAGGCGTTCTCTTCATACCAGTGGTTTGAGTGTTGGGTTATAATTTTGCCCTACCAGGATTCAAATCCCAGTTTAACCATGGAAACTCACTGGATGACCTTGGGCAAGTGAATACTTAATGAAATGATTTTGATGTTGTTTTATAGTGCATCATTCTTGCCAGGTAACAGGAGATATGCATTTGTGACCATTATTGTTCTAATTCTACATCCTACTTGTTAACAGCTGTCTTCTTTGTAACAACTCTAGCTGTTTTGCTTCATTTTTTTCTTTAATGGAACTCATTGGAAAAGCATTATTGGATATTTTCTCAAGCTTATCAAATTATTAATCACTGAACACAATGAGTTTAAAACAGACTGGTTTTCTATGGTTATTTCAGGTCATAGTGGCTACCAATATTGCAGAAACATCTATCACAATCAATGGAATTTCATTTGTGATTGACTGTGGCTTTGTGAAGCTCCGTGCATATAATCCCAAAACAGCAATTGAATGCCTTGTGGTCGTGCCAGTATCAAAAGCCTCGGCTAATCAGAGGGCAGGTCGTGCAGGCCGGAATCGTTCAGGAAAATGCTACAGACTTTATACAGGTGGGGATGTGGTCTTTTGCTGGTGGTAGTATGCTTAAAAATTATGTAGGTGTCTTCGGGACAATTAAAAAGTACAATTCTGTCTTAATAAGATTTATGTAATGGATATGCAATTATTTTAAATATATATTATTATTATTATTATTGGTTTGTAATGCATTTTAATAAAGTAAACACATTTTATAGTGCAGTTCTTATTGGACTATATTATAGGTTGGACACTATTTTGTGTATATTTTTCAAAATTTTAAGACTGCTTATTTTGCAAAATTTCATATATAGGACAAATGAAACCAATAAGTGTATCTTGTCTTTATAGAGTTAATATGTGTATTGAGGAAGCAATTTCTGGGAATTTGGTCATCTACGTATTAACAATCTAAGTGTAAATATGAGTTAAAGAAAGGGATAGCGTAGTCAAATTACAAAAAAATGGAACACCGAAAAAGTGTCATTAATTGGTACTATTAATTCTAATCATGCCAAGTATTACATGATACAATCACCTGACACTGACTAGCTGAATAATGATGAGCAGTTAAATGGTTGCATGATTGTATGAACAGTGACCTTGTACAAAAATATAACCTCATTGGGTGGTTGTAGGTTTTTCGGGCTGTGTGGCCATGCTCTAGAAGCATTCTCTCCTGATGTTTCGCCTGCATCTGTGGCAAGCATTCTCAGAGGTTGTGAGGATGCTTGCCACAGATGCAGGCGAAACATCAGGAGAGAATGCTTCTAGAACATGGCCATACAGCCCAAAAAACCTACAGCAACCCAGTGATTCTGCCCATGAAAGCCTCCGACAATACATATAACGTCATTTTCAGTTGGATAATGGCTGACCTTGAACAATGGGACTATTACAAACCCTGTCTAATTGGTTGAGCATGAAATATAAGTAGAGCTTGTCAGTAAACTGACTGATAACAGACAATCAGTTAATAGTAACTCTCAGTATGTGAATGTGTAGATAAACAGAAAATTGAGATACTATATAATTCAGTGTTGGACCAGAAAAAGTAAGTAGTCTCTTGAATAGCTTACTTGCTATGTCATTCCTAATTGAAGACCATACTTCATAAAGTTGATTATATCTGCACATATAGATACTGCTTTGTCCAGTGTTCTACAATGCCTTACAAAGTATATAGGATCTAAGATGTTTCATTGCTTACATAGAAAAGTATGATAGGAATGTGCCTAAACTGTAAAGCTTATATTTATCCTCGAGAGTTTGTATGGGTGTGGGTGAATATGACAGAGTGAGCGTGAGCGTGGGAGAAAATGAGAGAGAGAGAGAGAGAGAGAGAGAGAGAGAGGGGAAAATCTTAAAAGATTACCTAGCTATCTGCCTTATTCTCTCTTATTAAATATCCAAAAATTCAAACACTTAAGATTACTCAAGTGAATTGTTAATGTTGGTCTTCTGTTTGTGGGCTTCGGGATTCAAGCCATACTTCATTAACCAAACTCTTTTTCTGTATAAATGGTAGCTTCCTTTCCTTGTTTTTCATTCCTGTGTTCTGCCAAACACCCTGGATCCCCTTTGCAGTCAAATCAAACTCCACCATGCCTCAATTTCTACAATATTACCTTGGAGATGTCCTGTGACCATCCTACTAAATAAAATTGTATCGCTTCAACTGCTTCTTGGTTTTTGCATGAACTTTTTTGTTCTTTATAATAGAATGAATGCATATAGCTTCAATGGATTCGTAAATTAATAGTTTAATTTTCTCTTAACAGAAGAAGATTTTGAGAAGTTACCACAATCCACCATTCCTGAGATGCAGCGCAGTAACCTTGCACCAGTCATCCTGCAGCTCAAAGCTTTAGGAATTGACAATGTGCTAAGGTTCCCCTTCCTCTCAGTAAGTATGAGACTCTTGTTTAACTGTTTATCTTGTATAGTTTGGTTTGCCAGATTCACAGTACAAGCCACATTTCAAGGACATCAAGGGTTACTCTTCCTTTACTTTGCCACCTACATAACATTCTCTTCTATGTCAAACAACACAGATAAATAGACTCTCATATTTAATTGCTTTCTATATCTCAGCAGGAATCTTGTATGGGTGAATGCATACAGGTAGAAGAGATTGATCTTTGTTTTCTGACTCTTCTAGTTTGCTCAACTTTTAGTATTAGCCCCCAAGAAAGAGAAGTACATTTCTTTTTGAAAAGGTACTGGGTAAATATATATTCTTTTTTTTCCAGCCTCCACCTGCTCAATCTATGGTTCAAGCTTTGGAGCTACTCTATGCATTGGGAGGTAAGATTATTTAATTTTCATTATTATATATATTAAAAAGATTTCTGTACAGAGAATCATTCTTTTAACACATGTATAATTAGTTCATTTCAAAGTATGTTATAATATATAATATTATATATAGAGCATGGGTCATCAAAATTTATGTTTTGCATTTTCTTCTTCTCTAGGGCTTGATAAATATTGTCGTCTTACTGAACCTCTTGGAATTAGGATAGCAGAGTTTCCTTTGAATCCTATGTTTGCTAAGATGCTTCTAGAATCAGGTAATTCCAAAGATACATAGTTGCAATTAAGCCTTCTTGTAGTTAATTTCTGATAATTAGGTGATGAGAATGCTCTGCAAGGCATTTTTCACCTAAATGGTTTATTAGCTGTTTGGTTTTCTTTAATAGTAGACATTTGGGTCATGCTTGTATTATGATGGTAGAATGTAGGAGATAAGGAAGCAGTACTAAAGAGACTATGCTTCATTTAAGTCCATACTACAAATGAAGCAAAGATATGATTGTTGTGACAATTTATTGAATAAATTCTGACTTAATCCTCCTCCTTTGCTTGTTACAGTTATTAAGATCTACTAATCAATATGTGCACCATTTGTTCCCTGAGGTTGACTTTTAGGCGGTTGCTCATGATATATATGGGACTCTGGTAACCCACATCCCCATTTCAGCTCTTTCATCTGCCAAAAAGTTTAGGGGAATCTCTAGAATAGCATTAAGTGTAGTGGAGGGAGCTGCAGTCATAACAGAAAATTTAGCTATTGTTTTGTCTTGTCCATCACACCTTCTATCCAAATGGCATGAGTCTATCTATTTTTTTAAATGTATGTTCCTACATCTTTGTGATAAGACAAGCTAGAAATGAGAAGTTCTTGGATTTCAGTATTTTAGAATACATATACCTACACATTATAAAAAAGGGGAAAGTGGGGCTAGTGCCAACTGAGTTTTTTCTCAAGGAGCCCTGTTGGGGGAAAGAGAAGAGGAAGGACTCCGCTTACACGAGGCCTCTATAAAAAGCAGATATGCTAGGTGTTTTGCCAGGTATCAGCATGCTCTCCTTCAAGCAAAGTAACCAGGAAGGAAGAGAAAAATCTCTCTTCCCCCCCCCAATCTCTCTCCGTGCTGGATACAGGCAGCAGCCAGTAGTGTTGTTCCACTCTCATAGCTCCTTGAAAAACTGAATAGGTGCTGGATGTGTGGCTGTCCCCCTTTCCCCAAAAGTGGCTAGAGGTGCAAAGCTTTGGGTTTGCACCTCTAGTCCCTTGGATAAAGGGACTACATGTTATCTGCTAATATATCTTTAACTAGGTGATTATGTGAACCACATTGTATTATTTGGAGTTTCAGTATTTAGCAGTGAGAAAGTGAAGTTTCTCCCACCCTTCTGATTATTTTGCAGGGAATTTTGGTTGCTCCCAAGAGATCCTGAGCATTGCAGCCATGATGCAAATCCAGAATGTCTTTATGATTCCTCCAAACCAGAAGTCACAAGCTGTAAGTGTTGTTTCTGTACTCAATGACATTATTTCTTGCCTCTTCCAGTTCCTTTGGAAAGCTGAATATCTTGTTTAAATTCATCTTGTTGACTGTATCTATAATTACATCTGAGAAGTTTGACTGTGTTGAAATGATTCAGCCTGTAGCATGAGATAAAGTGAGACTTGTTCATTTCTTGATTTAAAAAATGCATAATCAGTTAAAATTTAACTTTAAACCTAACATTTAGCCTAAATTTGAACTGCTAATCCAATGACAGGGATTCAGCCTGTTTCGTTTTGTTATATCTCTTGAAAGTTCACATATAAAATTAAGGTAGGTTTGTGGTCCTGGATATTCAGGTGCAATACTGAATGCTTTTACCTATCTTAGGCTTGCTTTTTTTTTGGGGGGGGGGGAGAGGAGGTAGCCTTAATCACTGTTGCACATGTTCAGAGTTGGGTTCATGCAACATATATTGTGTGAAAATATCATCTGATACAAAGCTAGCAGCCGAATCCTTGAAAAGCTAATTTATTGGAGCATGCTTTCCCCACTTTAATCTGGCTTTCTTTTTGCTCATTTCAAAATAATTTATTTTTTTTATCTTGAAAGCCCAAAACAATTTAGGATTATAGACTTAAAAGACCATCTCCTCCGAAAAGGTCCTGTTGGCCCTCAGATATTAGCAAACTTTTTGCATGTCTTACTTATGTCTCAGTTCATCTATAGTGGGTATGAAGATATGGAAATCATGCTCTTGTTGTTGAGTTCATTCCATGAAATGCACTGTTTAAGAAATCTGCCTGGCCCCTTCTTGTTACTGGTTGTGAAGGAAGGAAGGAAGGAAGGAAGGAAGGAAGGAAGGAAGGAAGGAAGGAAGGAAGGAAGGAAGGAAGGAAGGAAGGAAGGAAGGAATATATATATGTATGCAGGTCTGTGGCCTATCATGTTTTTGGCTAATATTATTTCTACACCTTCAAATGTAGTTGTTTGTATCTTCTACTTTGGCCTTTGTTTTTATAATTTGTGTCTAAATATGATGCTTTTAAAGTTGCTACTCCTTGTCATGTTTGAAAACAGGATAGAGATGGGAAACCAGTACGCATATTCCCCTAAACAAATACATTGCTTGCTTTCTGCATGTGAGGGAAGGGAAATAGTCAAATAAATCAGAATAATGTCATATTATACAAAACATATAACATTCATCAAAATTGCAATGTATTAAGTATATTTGTACCAAGCTTTTGTAAAAGTCAGAAAGATTCACGCATTCTTAAATTGATTCCACAGTCTTAAGTGGAAATGTGTGGTCTCTTTCTAAAAGGACTCTGTATATAAGTTTGTAATCATTTCTCCTTTTCAGATCAGAGAACACAGAAAATTTGCTGTTGAAGAGGGTGACCATCTCACTATGCTTAATGTCTATGAAGCCTTTATCAAAGTAAGCATAAAGCTAAAGCACAAAAAGACCAATGAGGCCTGATTTTAAGTCCTCAGTTCAGCTGATGATAGTCTTAGGCAGAGAATGATCCAACATAGAGACTAGCTGTGTGTTGTAGGCTAAGTGAAACCAACACAAGTTTTGATGGAAATTATGTTTCATCCAAAACTCTTGCAGTCCTGCTTGGTCCTTTGTGACTTAAAATGTTTTGTAGCAAGCCATGTGACTATGTTCATACAAGTGTATCTCCTTCATTTAGGGACAAGGATTCTCAAACTCAACACAATCCTTGTGCTGTCAGCAAACCCAGATTTCTAGAACGCTTGCTTGCAGATATGTTTGGCACACATGCACTTTTTCTGATTAATGTAGTGCCTTGATTGTAGCACGCCCTCATTTATAATGGCTTTGTCAACTGGAATTTAGATTTGGATTGCAGAGAAATTTGATATTTGATAGCAGTGAAGTCATGAGACTTCCAATGTTGCATATCAAAGTGTCTTTCGCAAATTTTGGTCTCAATCTTCTTTTCTTATTGCTGACAGGGTTGTATTATGATGATGTTTATTTATACCCTGCTTTTTTCTCTCCACAAAGGAGACTCAAAGCGGCTTACGTTAAACGTGTTTCAGTGTCATTTAGAATCTACAAATATACAAACATTGAAAAAGAATTAAATACCTATGGCATTAAAACATTTAAAGTTAAAATCCATAAAAACTGTTTAAAACCATACTAAAACCATAGCACCCCTGCCTTGATCTTAAAAATCTTCTTTAAAAGCCTGTCTGAATAAAAAGGGTTTAGCCTGCCACCGGAAGGACAGCGGGGAATGGGCCATTCTGGGTTCCCTGGGCAAGGGAGTTCCAATGTTTGATGATTTTAAGTGTCTTTTTGCCATATTGTATACAGATTTGGGGCCTTTAAGCTCTGCTTCCCCGTCTGTAATGTAAAGGCAGGTAAACACTGGAATGAAGTTAGGGCTAGCAAGTTTTTGAAGCCAGCTTTTCCATTGCTGTTTAGATGTTTGTTTTTCTCCCTGTGTAGCACAACAAAAGTTCTCAATGGTGTCAAGATCATTTTTTGAACTACAAAGGCCTTGTCAGGGCCACAGCTGTGAGAGAACAGCTGAAAAAACTCCTTGTCAAGTTCAAAGTACCGAAAAAATCCTGTGAAGGTATGAGAAATAGAATGTTGATGATTTCTGTTGATGATTCCTTGCATGTCTTTTCACAACAATTTGTATAATTGATTGCTTTGCTTACCATTTTGAATGGTTTTGGTAACATGTGGTGTATTTTTATTAATGGATAGAATAGAATTGATAGAATTCAGTATACCTGTAACTTTACTGCTTCAAGCTAGCAATATTTATATACTACAGTGCAAGATATATGGAATAATTTCTCTGGCTTCCCTCTCCATGTTTGATTTACTTACATATTACATGGAGGAAATCCAAATGATGTGGTGTCTCTTGAAAAGAAATGAACACACCCAATTTGACAAACATCTGTCTGTCTTAATCAAAAAGGTGCTTATCAGTGTAAACACAAGAAGTCCCTAGCATGAATCAGACTTCTACATATTTTGGTTCTAGATGTCATAACTCATGGTGAAATATGTAAAGGAAATAATTTCCATGTGGCTACATTTCTTGTTTATTAAGAAGATTAATACCGTTTTCACATGCGCTATAAAGTGGTTTACAGTTAACAAGTCTAAAAATGCCACATCATGTCAACCAATATGTAGATTCAAAGTATCAAATTAATAAAAAATGGTACAAAATATTCCCCATTATGTCTCCCAGTTCCTTTTCAGAGTTCACAATTAAATATTCTGTTCAGAATTGCACATAGGAAATCCTGTTTGTGTTCAGTGCTGAAAACTGCATTTTAAAACTGCTGAAATTCTATAAATCTTGATCTCTGATTATTAGAACATTTTTATTTTGTTCTATCAAGTGTGGGCTAGAGTAAGAAGGTCTTAGAGTAGATGCAACACTTCACATTATTACATGGCACGTAACAGGTATTTTCAAAAAATTGTTTTAGTGAAAAGCAGTGTAGATGAATGGGAGCATGGATCCTCAAACATTATCTAATGGGATATTTGCTCATTTCAAATCCTTCCTCTTCCAGCTGTTTTTAACCTGGAAAAAGAGATAGGGCAGGTAAAAAAAGCAAGTGAGAGAACACAGCGATCTTGAGCAGACAATAAGCAGAAAAACAATAGTTCAAGTCCCCCCCCCCCCTCTGTTTATTGCAGGTCTTTCAAAAAGTTGTTGTAACTGTCTGCTGTGTGATGTCTCATTTGAGCATTTCTGATACCTGGCTTTGTGAGATCTGAATAACGCAGCTATAGTTAGGAAGAAATAATTGATACTTTACATAGTGATGAGGTTGTCTGGTCATCTGGTGAACATGAAAGAAAACAGATATTTTAGAGTCTATTTGAAGAGCATCTTTAAAATGTATTTGATGAGTCACCTCATCAAAGAATATGGAATTTAAGATTCTTCTAATATCACAGATAATTGACCTGTGTGGGTCAATAGAGATACTTAAAAGCAGTGGCATTTGTTTATTTATTTTAGGTGATCCAGATCCTGTTCTAAGGTGCATAGTTTCTGGATTCTTTGCTAATGCAGCCAGATTTCATTCCACGGGAGCCTACAGGTAAATTATTATTATTATTATTATTATTATTATTATTATTATTATTTTTAAAAAACCCATTCCCAGTACATGAACATCCCAGTATCCTAGTGGTGACCACTATAGCTCAGCTCTGAGTGTGGTGAAAAAGGGGTGGAGATGGGTAATTGCAATCTTGCAATACTGGTAGAATAGAAAGTGAAAAATGTGGGTAACGTGGGAAAGAGTTATGATCAATAAAAGGGTCATTGGAAGGCAAAAGCTGTTAAAAACAGCACTGATTTGCTTTCCTCAATACTATATATCAGCTACAATCACAGGCTAACTGTTCTTCTGTGACATAAATTGGCACTCTACTTCCTAGTGAACTGAGCTACATCAGGCAGAGACAAATCAGACTGCAAATATTCTAGAGCTATCCATCATCTTCTTAGACGAACTGCCTTCATATCTCTGAAGTGTAAAGTCAGTGTAAATAAGAGGAAAATAAAGACATTCAAAACACACAAATGAATGCTGGAAATGTCTCCAATTCAATTTCCTTTTGCTGTTAGTATTGTTGAAAAATTTGCCTATCAATAATCAGGCTAATAATTGAGGGAGGGTGTCTTATATGAGATAGATTATATTGGCTTCTATACTGGATTGGTGTGGCACATCAGGAAATAATTACAATATTTGAGTCTGAAATAACACTCTTCACTCAAGGACTATCCGTGATGACCATGAACTTCATATCCACCCCACTTCAGTGCTATATGCAGAGAAGCCCCCTCGTTGGTAAGTTTACAGATTTTGTTTTCTAACTGTGAGTTTAACACTGTATGTTGAGATGGTTTCATAAAGTACACCCTCCAGCTGTTTCTGTGGCCCTGGGTCTCTCCTGATTCCTTGGCCACCCTTTTTCTACCTTTCTATCCCCAAGAAAGGAAGAATGGAAAAAAGATGCCCACCTTTTGATCAGGTTGCAGAGGTGCATTGTGCCTTTTAATGTTTTAAAATACTCAACTGCCAACCTCTTAGTGTCTTTAAAGACAATTCAGCTCCCAGGAGATCTCAGGGCAGAAAATGCATTCCTGGAGCAATTATGGTTGCCTGAACATGCTTGTGTGTTATTCAGCATGTTCCTTGTAGCATTTAACTATGATGAACATAGGAGATTGTGTCCTCAGAATGCACCATATACTATTGATTCCACAGACAGGCCTACAAGTGGATCAATCTGTGCAAATGATTTTTTTATTGCATGTGTAGCTTAAATAGTCATTTTCTGACCCCAGTGCTGGACACCAGAAGTTTAGTTCTAAGGGGAGTTAACCACCCCCCCCCCTCCCCACAGGAGTGATTTTGAACTTGTTCTCTAGAAGTGTGCTTGCAAAATTCAGAGGTTGCTGCCCATACCTATTATTTTTGAAGAAGAGTTTTGGGAGTACTGACCAGTAGTACTCCATTTCTAGTGAAGAATGTCTTTGATGACTACTTTTCACATTCTGATTATCTTAGTATATCCCTACAGGAGGACAGGGGGAGTAATGTTTTTGGAGCAGGTACAAATATCATAAGTACATATCAATACTATGTGTATTTGTCCCAGAATATGTGTAAACAATGGGATATTAAATTGTCTATATGAAAATACTGGATTTTATTTAAATCTTTTTTTCTTACTGACACTCTTCATCAGTCCATAAAGATGAAGCTTCTGTCCAACACTAGGAATATTCCAATCTCCTTCTCACCTTCATGTGTTTCATCTAGCAGACAGACAATTATTCTGTTATTGTGACTTAAGAATCACAGAATCATAGACTCTCAGAGTTGGAAAAGACCTCGTGGGCCATCCAGTTCAATCCCCTGCCTCTGCTTAAAACCCTCCAAAGAAGGAGCCTCCACCACACTCCAGGGCGGAGAGTTCCACTGCTGAACAGTTCCCACAGTTAAAAAGTTATCCCAGATGTTCAGGTAGAATCTACTTCTCTGTAGTTTGAGGTCACTGTTCTGCATCCTTGTCTCCAGGGCAGCAGAAAACAAGCCTACCTCCTCCTCCCTATGACTTCCTCTCACATATTTATACATGGCTATCATGTCTCCTCCCAGCCTTCTCTTCTGCAGGCTAAACATGCCCAGTTCTTTAAGCTGATCCTCATAGGGCTTGTTCTCCAGACCCTTGATCAATTTAGTGGCCCTCCTCTGGACATATTCCAGTTTGTCAACATCTCCCTTAAATTGTGATGCCAAGAATTGGACACATTATTCCAGGTGTGGTCTGACCAAGACAAAATAAAGGGGTAGCATGACTTTTCTGGATCTAGACACTATACTCCTATTGATGCAGGCCAAAATCCCATTGACTTATTTTGCTGCCGCATTACATTGTTGGCTCATGCTTAACTTGTTGTCCACAAGGACTCCAAGATAGTTTTCACAAGTACTGCTTTCACACATCCCCATTCTAACTTGTTGTCATTGCTTCAATTCCTTGGGTATCTTTTCTAGTTAAAAAAACAACAAAACACCAAGCATTTTACAGATAACATAGTCCAAAATTAAAAATAATACAGGTATGTAACAATATTAAAAATACTATTATGCAGTGCCTCCAAAACTAAAATACAGGATGAATTAGTTGGCTTAACACCAGTATTATGAAATTAATCAACCCCATCTGATCTAATAAGAGGCATCATTACCATATGAGGTCTTTTAAAATGGAAAAACAAGTGGACTGATATTCAAATGTTTTGCTAGTTGTCTGCTCTTTATAATAGCTTTGTTTGACATTTTAGGGTAGTCTACAATGAAGTCATACAGACCTCAAAATATTACATGCGGGACGTGACAGCTATTGAGTCTGCGTGGCTGTTGGAACTGGCCCCTCACTTCTATCAGCAAGGAACGGTATGGGCTTGGCATAAACGCCAAACAGCATCATTGCTGTATTGGCAGCTCTTGCTATTCTATGCTTTTTATGCTTGTTATATTTGTTTTCTATTACAGCTATTTGAGTTACTTGTTTGTACCTGAAAAATTTGCAACAACCACAATATATTTAAGGGTTAGGTCTGTTCATTTTGTCATGGCATTGGAATCTTTTCCATTAAATTTCAGTTTACAGAATATATAGATTGGCTTTTAATCTGTGAATTAACTTATTAATTGGGGAGACATGTTTTAAACAACTGATGCATATTGGAAACGGAATAAACCCTTTATAATAATTTTATAATATGTTTCTTTCTGGTTAAAGCAGTGCAGATATTATTGTGAAGTTTAAGGGAAAATCATGTGATGAGATCCTATTCTCTCTATCCATCATTTTGGTTTCCTAATCTCTTGTGTTTGTCTTAAATTTATTGCATGCTTTTTCCCAACAAATCCCAAAGTAGCAAATATGGGCCTCTCCAACCCAATTTTATCTTCCCAATAAATAACCCTGTTAAGTTTGTTAACTGACGGATGGTGACTGTCCCAAAGTCACCCAGTGCTCTTCATTTATGAGTGGGAGTATTCAAGCTTAGCTCAGACATTGTAAAACATAGCTTTTGAGTACTTTATTTAAAAAGTTATAAAGGTTGTTTTAACCCGGAATCAAGCTTGCTTGAGCCATAGTTAACATGAGAGGGAATCACTCTGTGGATGGTAAATGCAAGTGGTAGAGTGTATGATCCCATGTTCCAATCCTTTGGGCCTTGTATGCCTGAAGTATGCCTGGGTAGATGTTGACAAGCAGCTTGGTCTCTCAGGTTTAAGCCAATCCTCTTTTCATTCTATGGTGACCTGTCTTAAGTGAGTGTCTATATTTGTGAAAAATTAATACGAATTGCTTAGAGGTTATGAGGTGTACTATAAAAAACCTAAATATTATCATGCAATAGGCATGTGTAGTAGATAAAGTTAGAGAGAGAGAGTTATCTAGGAGAGCTAATGAATTGTGAGTTCTAAAGCATTGTTATTGTGTGCCTTAAAATCATTTCTGACTCCTGGGAGCCTGAAAGCAAACCTGCTGTGATTTTCTTGGCAAAGTTTGTTCAGTTGTACCTTCCTCTGAAACTGAGAAAGCCTTGCCAAGTGATTTCCCATGGCTGAGCAGAGGTTTGAACCCTAGTCTCTAGAATTATAGTCAAATCCCACTAGCTAAAATAATATCCAATTGTCCATGTTTTTGCAAATGAGAAATGTTGTTTAGGAAATGGTAATAGTAAACCAAGGGCCCCCTTGTGGCACAGCAGGTTAAACCACTGAGCTGCTGAACTTGCTGATCGAAAGATTTGGAGAGTGGGGTGAGCTCCAACTGTTAGACCCAGCTTCTGCCAACCTAGCAGTTTGAAAACATGTAAATGTGAGTAGATCAATAGGTACAGCTTCAGCGGGAAGGTAACAGTGCTCCATGCAATCATGCTGGTCACATGACCTTCGTGGTGTCTATGGACAAGGCCAGCTGTTTGGCTTAGAAATGAAGATAAGCACTACCCCCCAGAGTTGTACACGATTAGAATTAATGTCAGGGGAAACCTTTACGTTTTTGATAGTAAACCAGAAGCTGCTTCGGAGGCCCATGATGTCAGTTGTCTTGTGAAACATTTTGTGAAACTGCCCTAGTAAATATATACAGGCTCATTTTACTTTCTGGAATACAGACAGTCCCCGAGTTACAAACATTTGACTTACAAATGACTCATAGTTAAAACAGGGGTGAGACAACAAGGAAGTGAGAGAAATCCATACCCTGGAAAGGAAATTCACTCCTGAAAGAGTTATTGTGAAGAAAAGGTTTATCCACTAAAGCTTTATCACCAATCCTTGTTTCCACAACAAACCAAATTTTTTAAAATCATATTCTCACAGGGACAGAAGGTGAGTTGAAATATTCTGAACAAACACCACAGGGGTGTTAACTCTTCCCTATGCTATCCAAAGCTAATATATTTATATAATTTATTTGGCTGGAGTTTCAAATTAAAATTGTACATGTTCTGACGTACAAACAAATTCAGCTTAAGAACAAATCTACAGAACCAATCTTTTTCATAACTTGGGGACTGCCTGTCCTGGAAAATTAAATTGTATGTGGTGGAAAGTTTTAAAAGCAGAATTGAATGAGCTGTTGACATCATGGCTGATTTAGACAGGATAGATGAGATTATCCAAACATTTATGAAATTCTAAAATTGAAAACAATACTTTTCTTTCATTCCAGCACCTGTCCCTGAAAGCCAAAAGAACTAAAGTTGATGACCACTGACTCACCTTTGCCGTTGAAGTTCATGGTGCGTGATGCTGAACTTTCCGCCAATTGAAACTCTGCTACTGTCCATCCAGTTAGTTGATTAGCAACCTGACCCCATATCGACTATAAATTTTGAAATGCCTGCCTGCCAGGTTCCTGTAGGAATTTATGCATGATCAATACATTGTAACTGAAGTAGAGCTTGCATTGTGGACATTTTATCCAGCAGTCTTAATCGTGCCAACTGCTCCTGCTCACCAGGATGTTTTGCTCCTTTTAAACTAAGTAGGAAAATTATGAGTGCAAAAGGAGACTCTTAAAACTGTGTGAGGTTTTGCAGTGTGTGGGTTACTGCCCTGCATCCTTGGGGCAGAGAGGAGAAGGAAAGTATAACGTCCTCAGAGTGACAAAGTAGAGCTCAGGATCCTTTAGACCACTGTGAAAGCCATTGGCCATCCTGGACCTCCCTGCAAATTGTAGGCAGATTTGGGGCCACGAGCCTTGCAATACTTTAATGATTGTAATGAAAACCTTGAAACTGTGATTGTGCCTCACTGCTGTGATTCCCCCCTTCTGATTTTGCTTTGAAGCAATAGATTTCTAATCTTTTACCAACTTTCCTTTCATTTTCTCTCTCCCTCTTTGCAATGCTTCTGTTTTTCAAGCCAGCCTCTTCACATAAATGCAAAATTTGTTAATCCACAGCAATTTTAAAATCAGAATATGTAAGGGAACGATGTTCACAACCAGGATAGATGCAAGTCTAGGTGGTTTGCTTCTTGGTTCAAAATATTAAAGAAATAGGGATATTGGCCCAATCTCATATAGATCTTCATTTTAACTGATTTTATATTGTGAATTTTGGAAATACCTGTTCTCTCTAGAGAGCCTTTCCAAATCTTGCTTTGCCTGTGATTTTCATCAATCTGTTAACAGGCAACTGTATAGCAACAAGAGGAAAGAGTGCCACCTTTAAAGAGAGGAGTAGGATGGCTGTCTTAAGAGATACTATTTTTTCTCAGATGTGGAGGGTTGCAGATACTGTAGAGTGTCCTAGACTAGTAGTAGAACACTGGGATTGTTCTTCCTGTAAATTAATTTGGTCTTCCACTTTGTAAACCTTTTTGCTATTATATCTGACAGGATCAAATCTTTATCCTGTTGCTAGTGCAATATAAGATGCTTGTCTGTGAAGGCACCTGATTAAGAATAATTTCAAGGATATTCAGTTCTCTTCAGGTAAGGTGTAGAACTGCCCACCTCCCAAAACGTAGCATGAGATTTAAGCTCGTTAAAACCATCTGATGGTGCTGTGTTTAGCCACGTTTAATAGGTGCCAAGATGTGCTTTTGGAAAACCAGAAAATTATATCCTCCCCTCTCAACTCTTTATTAAAACATAGTAATCTTTACAGCAGTTCACAGACTGCCATCCTTGAAGGTATAATGATCTATTCAGCAGGCACTGGTTAAACTGAACTTTGGCTGCCTTCCTACATAAACTCCTGTCAGTGTGTCAGAAGTACAATTTTGGATAAATATATATTTATTTTCATTTTTTATTTTAGGTTTTTTAAAAAATGTTTGAATTTGTGTTTGTTTTTAGAAGATTTGTTTTGTTGAATGACTTGTTCTCTTCCTCCTGTTTAAAATGTCTATAAATGATCAAGTTTTTTTAAAAACACAGAATAAGGGTTTTCCTTATCCTGAATGTGCATTATAAGTCAACTTTTCTAATCTTTTTTTCACTCTGTTCCCCATAAATCTTCAGAGAAGCTTGTTTTGTCAATCTGTGGTCCATTCAGTATCTCTGCGCTGTATATATCACCAGCCTCACCAAACTTCATTCCATCTTTTGGATTTCTAATGCAGATGTTTCTCTCTTCTCTTCTCTTCACTTCCCCATCCCTCCACTATGGTATGTGAGCTCTGTTGAGCTGAGGTTGTCTTTTAATCTTGTGGGATATGTGATGTTCAGAATATTGTTGATGCACCATAATGGGTGTTTCACTTAATTCTAAAGGTCTTTTTCCTTTAAAAAAAGCTTACAAATTCCTGGATACAAAGTGTGTAAACTTCCATGTTGTTTTGTCCTCTGTTAACACACTCTAGGGGAAAAATAAAGTTGTGAAATTAAATAATCTAGAAAATGTGTGCCTATTAATCAAAGTTAATTGTCTGAATCATTATCTGAATGAACACACTGTCTTTCCCAAGGCAGCACATAATGTCCTAGAAACTCAACCACCATGTCCACCTATCATGTTTCACAAACTCCAGCCTTCATTCAAACAGATAAAAAACATTTCTAAGTGCCTTAAATTTGGGGATTTTCTGATTCTCTCCAGTGAAAATTACAGTGTATTTTGGATATTAAAAAGCACAATGTCTACATTAATATTTGCATTAACATTTACAAGTAAGTATCAAATTAATTTCATTATATTCAAACACCTACAGCAGGAATACACATATTCATAAGAGGGAGAACGTCTGTGTTGAGGAATTATTATCAGACTGTGTTTGGACACACACAAAAAAGAGATGCCAGGGAGAGAGAAGCAACATAAATGCCTCACCTAACTGCAAGGACCCCACCATTGTGTCTGGCACCATTGGTGCTAGACTTACTGCTAAGGAGGCAGGCACACAGGTGCAGTCCTGGGCACTGGCACTTAGTGAACCTGGTGGTGATCCATCTGCCCAACAATTTTCAAGCATTACTCAATTAGTTTCTCCAGGGAAGCAGAATGGAATGTTCAATCTGGGCCAGCTTGTCCAAGCTGTCATCAGCCAAACCATCTTTATACTGTTTCTCCAGTGTCGCATCATTCCAGGACAAGTATTGAGCCAATCTGGAAGCTGGTAACAGACCTTCCATCGACCATTTTGGCTTTCTTGGGGTCCTCTCATGCCTCTCTTATTTTCTTCAGAAAGTCAGTGAGGCTGATTAGGAGAGGGCTTTACTGAAGGAGAATGGAGCTGGCCCATTTTGAAGCTGGACCAGTAAGCAGGTTGTTTATAAATACCACTTTTACCTGGTCAGTAGGGAATTCTTCAGGGCAGAACTGCATGTAGAACTGACAATGAGCCAAAAAGGTCTGGAACTGGTCTGGGAAGCTATCCAATTCCTCTGTTCGAGACACATGGCGTTTATGTCAAGAAGTCTATAGTGCAGGCATGGGCAAACTTTCTAACTTGGGGGCTGTATGGTGGGCTAGAGCAAGGTGGACAGGCCGGGAGGAAGGGGTTCTCCCCAAGTCCCCTCCCTGCCCTTTCCTCTTCTCTTTTGGAGGCAGAAAGTAAAGGAAAGATGGAAATGTTTGAATCCCCAAAAGGGTTAGCCTTGGTCAGGATATCAATAGCCTTTTGGAAGTGTTACCCTTTTGGAGATTAATTGGCATCAACACTATTTGGAATAATCATGATATTCCTGAGAAGAGTTAAATACTCATTTGAGTGAATCTTCTCCTTAGTAGTAAATATCCACTAGTATTCATGCAAGGCAAATTAGGCTTCTCAGTTGTTAGACTGATATACCTGGTTATCCCTCTGAACTGTTAGGAACAAAGATATGTTAATGCACAAAATATATAGCAGATCTCCAGCAGTGTTATTTCAGTTGCTCCCCAAAAATCTACTCTCATAAAATATATTGCTTTTATATCATGCTCTCAAGAGACCAACAATAAGTAGTCTTCGTTAAAAGTAACATACTTGATTTACTTACAAACTTCATGTATTCAGGATACAGGTACATTTCTTATTGGTTGATTGTTTAAACAGTAAGTTCTGTAAAACATTGTTTTAGTCTCTTCTTTGTTGTATACAGACTGTCTTTAGTCTAATACATTACTGAACACTGACTCAATAAAGACTGACTATACACTACAGCATACTATACTGACTGACTTCTAAACTGTATTGACTTCTAATGCAAACTGGCTTCTAAAATGGAGTCTCAGTCTGAATAGTCCCAGATGTAGTCACATGGTCTGCAGTCCCACCCACAACCTCAAACAACATAGAGTTAAGGGAGAAACTGCTTATCAAGATATACATACAATATAGTAAGCGATCACAATTATATAAATAACAAATAACTAGTATAGGAGGCTTATAGAAGGTTGCTATTTCCAACTATTTTATGGTGTAACTTCGTAGCCTTTCCCCCTAACTTTAAGATTTTTTTAAAAAAAATTGTTTTGAAAGTATTAAAAATTTCTGATTTTTGAATGTTTCTGCTTATTTATGAATTGCATCCAATCACTTTCTCTCTCTCCCCCATGCTTTGTCTTCTTCCCTTTCCCACTGATGGCATATCACATCCAGTCTAATGCAACCTCTCAGAAATTGATTGTGAAATTTCCAGCAAACTTTTAAATTATTCTTTGGGTTAGAGTTTTAAGCACTTTAGCAATGTTAAACTAATTGATCATTAGAATAATTTTGTTTTAAAGCTAGAATTACTCTTTCCCTCCTTTGATCTCTGCTGAATCTGCATCCAGGAAGTAATACATGCCATCAAAGGTTGTTCCAAGAATGTAGAAGCACACAAGACAAATACAGATGTGTTGTGCTCATTGTGTTTTATTTCTTTTCATTAAATACTGGGTTAATTTAAACAAATTCCCACTAGAGCATTGCAGCACACCAAAATACTTGGGGAGTTACCCTGGACTGTGCTCTGACCTACAAGAAGCACTGCTTGACTGTCAAGCAAAAAGTGGACACTAGAAATAATATCATACAGGCACAACCTGGGGATCATAACCAGACACAGTAAAGACATCTGCCCTTGTGGTTTCCTACCCTGCTGCTGAATAAGCATACCCAGTGTGGAGCACATCTCACCATGTTAAAACAGTGGATGTGGCTCTTAATGAGTCATGCCGCATTTTCACAGGATGTCTATGCCCCACACTACTGGATAAATTATACTGTTTAGCCAGTATTGCACTACCTGTCATCCGTCGGGAAGTAGCAGCCAACAATGAAAGGACCAAGACAGATATCAGCCAGCACACCAATGTCTCAAATCAAGAAATAGCATCCTGAGATCTACAGAGATGCTCACAGAAACACCTCAGCAAGCGAGAGTCCAAAAGTGGCAGGTTAAAACCTAGAACCTCAAGCCATGGCTGATACTGAATGAGAGACACTCTCCTGGGTATGCAGAAGACTGGGCGACTAGGAAGGTGCTGAACAGACTGCGCTCTGGAACCACGAGATGCAGAGCCAACCTTAAGAAATGGGGCCCCAAAGTGGAGTCCATGACATGCAAGTGTGGAGAAAAGCAAACCACAGACCGCCTATTGCAATGCACTCTGAGCCCTGCCACATGCACAATGGAGGACCTTCTTAAAGCAACACAGAGGCACTCGTAAGTGGTCAGCTACTAGTCAAAGGACATTTCGTATAATGCCAAGTTTTTAAAGCTTTGTGTTTTAAAATACATTAGAACTGTACGTTTCTGACACGATAAATAAAATAAATTTAAACAGATCTGTAGGAATGGTCCTTGGTATGTATGATTTTGAGATGGTTTTAAACAGTGATTTTAAAGTAGAAATAACTAATTTTGGCGTTTATGTGTGTTTAGAGTTTATGTTCCGGCATTGAATGTTTGCCGTATATATGCTGAGCTCAACCCTGAGTCGCCTTTGGGGTGAGAAGGGTGGAGTATACATGTTTTATAAATAAATAAATAAAACAAATAAATAAATAGGCAATTCAGAGAGATCTGAGGATTTCGTAAATATCATGTGGCTCTCCACAACATAATTCGAACAAGTAGATAGAAATCCTGGGGCTTCCAATGTTTTCAAGAGGAGGCTGTAGCGTTTGGAAAATAATACGTTTTTTTTTTGTTACAATATTTGGAAAAAAAAACTTATTACTGGCTATACTGTGTTTTTTTTTAAATCAACAACACTAGAACTGATAAGCCTTAAACTTGGGAAGTTCTTGTCAACATGTATCTAAAATTGTCCATACGAATTAGAATATGTTCCTTAATAAAGCAAATTTGCTTCCACTTTTGTTACTTTTCCAAGAAATGTTACCAAGAAGAAATCAATTCCTTGCTTGCAACATAACTCAATGCTTCCAAGCCCTGAGTTTACTCCCATGAATATCTGGTGTGGATGGATATCCTGTTGATAATAAAGGGCCCAAGAAATTTCAGAATACATTTTAGAAATATTTCCAAAGTAGTTCCAACATCTATAAAAATTAGACTTGCCAACATCTTTATATTATGAAACCTAGAAAACACTATTTGTTTTATAGCAGGGTTCTATACCAGGCAGCACTATGTAAGTCACACATAGGCAGGCATCTTGCCTGATATCATGAAGTTAACTGTCAAATCAGCATAGTGAGGCAGAGCACTGATGGTTACAGCAGTTCTGAATCTCTAATACAGGCTGCAGCTGTTTAAAACAATGGATCAGATAAGTTACTAGAGCCCGCAGTGGCGCAATGGGTTAAATCCTTGTGCTGGCAGGATTGGAGACGGATAGGTCAGCGGTTCGATTCTGGGGAGAGCGTGGATGAACTCCTGCCAGCTCCAGCTCTCCATGCGGGGACATGAGAGAAGCCTCCCACAAGGATGGTAAAACATCTGTATGTCTCCTGGGCAATGTCCTTGCAGATGGCCAATTCTCTCACACCAGAAGTGACTTGCAGTTTCTTAAGTTGCTCCTGACACACACAAAAAAGAAGAAGCTACTATTAACTATTCAGTTAGTTTGAATAGCTAGAGGAGCTCTTCACAGCTCCCACTAAAGGGAACTGTTGGAAAGAGTGAGACACATCTGAGAGTTAAATAATACTTGGAATATGAGTAAAATGGGAATTAATTTTTTTTAAAAAAAAAACAAAACCCTGGAAATATTGCTCTTTCCTTAGAAATTATAGATATTGCTTATTTAATACTTTGAGGCATGGGAGGACAAGGGGAAAAACAGTTGATAGGAAAAATTGAATATAACTTGCTATGCAAGAAAAAGATTTTTGTAATACTTGTCATTCTGGTCACACTGGATTAAAATCAGCTTTTAATCTTGTAGCTTTGTGTGCTTATAGCAAAACGTGCATTTTCCTGTAAAGTTTTGTCTACTACATACTTGCAATCAGGCTGCATGCCATATTCCTCAATATCCAAATTTCATGCATTTTAGAAGTCTGTTGCAAAACCAGTTTCTGACTTTTCACTCGCATTAGATGTTATGAGGTATCCAAACCATTACTTCCAATTTGAGGACCACCTTCTCTTCCCTCCAGAACACATACAGACAAGCACTTTTTCATGTCCCCAGTACAAAATTCTTTCTATTACTGTGATTAGATGTTATTTTTGATTGATGGAGCAACTTGTAATGTGCTCTACTCGTGTCTCTCCCATTTCACAATTGCCCTCAATTGTCTCTCCCATCTCACAATTGCCCTCAAAACATAGAGGAGTCATTCTAGGGCTATTCCAAGATATACTTAATGTCAACCAGTCACTTGGAAGTGCTTTTAATGCTGCCACAGGTGGCAAAAGCAAGTTTTCAGGAAGAAATAAAATGAATTGGTGCTGGTCTTTGTTGCTCCCTAAGGTAAAAGAGGTGCTTCAGAAAAATCCCCAGTTTTTCTCCAGACACATTTCAACCACCCATCCCATTCTACAGCTGATTTTATTTGAACTCGGAACTAATGTTAGAGAGGCCGGATTCTTCACAAGTGCCTTGGCATTTGTTTATTGGCTTGAAGTTTGGTCCTCCAGGTTGTTTTGGACTTATGATCTCTCTGACCTTTACATCTTACCCTTTAGGTTGCGATAGCACCCGTCCTCTCAGTCTTTGCCAGGAGAGAGCCCAGGAAAGCTGGGCAAAAGAAAATTGGGAGTTGGTTTGCTGACAGAGATAGCTGAGCTCATAGGCACTCAAGTAACAAATTGAATAGTGAATATCTTAAGACGGCTCTGGTTTATTGTCCAGATCGGGTCAGTGGAAAAAAAATATCAGGAGGCTGAACAAAGAGATGGGCTCCTTTAGCAGATAAATGGGCTGATCATTTTATATTGAGGAACAATCTCTAAAACATAGTTTACTGCGCAGCTGAGGACCGAAGCATTTGCTGATGCCAAGAGCTCCTGCTCTGACCCTAGGCACGAGGGGAATTAAATGGTGCGCTGTTTTTTGATGGTTAAACTCCCTGAAGAAGACACACCATTTGTTACCGGGGCTCTGATGAAGTAAAGTGCGGTTTATATGTACAAGGCCGGCCTTCAACTCATCTCAGAATGAATGGAGAGGTAAAATTGAATTTTACACTCCTGCTGCTATGATTAATGTTCAGGCTGTCAGCTGCCGCTTTGGCCCACAAGGGGGCACTGTGGCCTCGTGGTCGCGCCTCCTTTGGCCCATTTATGCACAGAGTTGCCAAATGGAAGGAAGTCTGCATAAATGAATAAAGGTTGCGAGAATAAACCTGTTACAGCAATAAATTCCCTGTGCGCCCACCTCAGTAAAATCCTTTGATATGAGGCAGTACCTGACAAAGGAATAAACTTGTTAGATGAATAAAAGAGACTGTGTATGTTAAATCATCGCTTTTAACAGTGCAGTTCAGCTATGGAGCTGTGGTCCAAAGCAGAGAGTTTGCAATAATTGCATTTCATTGGGGTGGGAGGTGGAAGGCAATGGAGAGGGGTGCGGGAGATAAAGCCAAGTAAAACTGGATTGCAAATGCAAATCTGAGCTCGGAATTCATTGCATTATCCAGAAATGCTATGTTATTGTTACTTCAAGATAATTTATTATTATTATTATTATTATTATTATTATTATTATTATTTTACTGACACAAAAACACATTATGTCACAGCAAACAAGATCTATATGCTGGATTTCGTATCACAAAATCACAAGTCGAACACTTCCCAAGTGTCTAGGACTGTGTGATGTATTTTCGAATGATGCGTGCAGATCCAAGTAAGGTGGCCTTTTGCAGTTGACAAATCATGATTTTGTCAATGTTTATTGTTTCCAGATGCCAGTTGAGATCTTTTGGCACAGCACTCAGTGTGCCAATGACCACTGGGACCACCTGTACTGGTTTATGCCAGAGCCTTTGCAGTTCATTTTGAGGTCCTGATAACGGCTGATTTTTTCCCTGTTTTTCCCCTCAATGTGACTGTCACTCGATATGGTGACATCAATAATCCAAACTTTCTTCTTTTCCACAATTGTGATGTCTGCGTATTGTGTTCCAAAACTTTGTCAGTCTGGATTTGACAAGGTATTTTTGCATATTCATTTTCCACTACCTTTGCAGGTTTATGATTCCACTAGTTCTTTACTACTGGCAGGTGGTGCTTGTGACATATGTTCCAATGAATCATTTGGACCACAGAGTTGTGCCTCTGTAGTCCGTTTGTGCGATTTTCTTGCAACAGCTGAGGATATGATCAATAGTTTCACCAGCTTCCTTGCACAGTCTGCATTTTGGGTCATCAGCTGATTTTTCGATACTGGCCATAATTGCATTTGTTCTGATGGCTTGCTCCTAAGCTGTAAGAATCAGGCCTTCTGTCTCCTCCTTCAATGTTCCATTTGTGAGCCATAACCAGGTCTTCTCCTTATTAACTTTTCCTTCAATTTTGTCAAGGAACTGCCCATGCAATGTTTTGTTGTGCCAGCTGTCAGCTCTGGTTTGTAGTGCAGTTTTCTTGTACTGATTCTTTGTTTGCTGTGCTTTGAGAAGTTTCTGATTATTGACTTCAATTAAAGCAGGTTCTTGGCTTTACTTTACATATTCCACCAGGGTGTGTTTTTCTTCTTCGACTGCTTGTTTTACTTGTTTTACTCTGCCACCAGACTTTCTAGGCAGATAGAGCTGGTCAACATCACTGCGAGGATGTAGTGAATTATGAATGGTCATCAGTTTTCTTGTTTTTCTGTCCAAATTGTCCAGTTCTGCCTGTGTCCAGTTTATGATGCCAGCAGTATATCTTATGATCTTTTTAAACAATTTAAAATGAAATATATAGTTTTTAAAAATTCATCTCAAAAGATACAATTGCAGGCAATGCATTAGTGCATTTCCAAGAAGAAGAATGCTAATCAAAATACCTTAAACTGCATGAATGTCAACATCTTATTTATTTATTTATTTATTTATTTACGATATTTCTATCCTGCCTTTCTCAAACCTGAAGGCAAATCAAGGCAGCTTACAAATTGGCAGCAATTTGATGCCATAACAATTCACAATATACAATTAAAACATTTAAAACAACATTATAAAATCCATACAAAAATAATTAAAACATATAATACATAATATATAATCTTACATAAGACCCCCCTTGTGTTAATAAATGTATTATTTCTTTTCCGCCTCCAAGAAGCTCAGAGTAATATACAGACATCTGCCTGAGTCCATCAACCTGCCCAACACTCCTACGAAGTGGATTGGATTTTAGAAGTCATGACTGGCCCCAAGATCACTGAGTGTTCTTCACTGGTAATGACGAGAGCCTAAATCCAGGTATTTCAATTCACTCTACCACATTTGTTCTCTTGTGTATTTTTTTCCCTTTAGTTAATTGAAAAACTTCAATTTCTACCTTTCAGAGGCTTTGCTTGGCTGCTGTGCTTGTGATGGATCTAGTCCAAGGCATTTTACTGCTTGAGAGGAGTGGCCCTCCAGTCAATGTTTAAAAGCCAGCAGCCATTGTCCTAGGCATTAGTCACCATACCCGTGATGTTGTGATTTGAGCATTGTACTATGGCTCTGGAGACCAGGCTTTGATCCCATTGACACTGACATTATAATGTGGCTCCAAGATAACTTGAAACCACAGCGGTCACAAATGCATGCCACCAATGTGTGCTGCAGCACACATTAAAAGGTATAAAGCACATTTTAAGAAGTTGCAGGAAAGTCCAAGTTAAGCAATAAAATGTGCTGCAGCAGATCCCAATGTATCCCGGATCCAGGGCAAAATCAGCCCTACAAAATGTTGACACCGTCCCCTTCTGAAGCAAAGTAAAGAATCCAAAAGTGCGGCTTCCTGGTAACTGCCACAAGAGCATGGCTGGGCAACATGGGGCTAACTGGGTAATTGATTCCATGCGCTGCTATCAGTTTCCCTTCTTTTCATCCCCTATGCTTCTATATGCACACCTCTGTAGGAAATGGAAAACAAAACACACAGAGCAGTTTTACACCAGGCACCTTGTTTAACATAATCATATTTCCAGCCTCAGATGAGTTTCAGGCATGGCAATTTCAGCAGTTTCAATAATTATCCAGTGAAACGGGTTTCTCCCAAACTGGTTCCAAGTTGCATTATAGTGTCAGTGTAGATGTACCCTTTGAATTCCCACTTGGCCATGACAATTCATTGGGTGAACTTGGGCATTTTACTCTTCCAGTCAGCCTCAGAGGAAGGTATTGGCAGATCCCCCTTCTCTGCTTAGATAACCCTGTAGCAGGTTTGCCTTAGAGCTGGGGTCCCCAAACAAAGACCTATAAGCTGAATGCGACCCTTCAAGGCCATTTACCCAGCCCCTACCCTAAAATTTAGGTCTAGGGTCACCCTAAGTCTGTAACAACTTGAAGGCACACAACAACAACTCTAATTAATTTGACTATCTCATCAGCCAAAAGCAGGGCCACTCTTCCCATTGCAATACTGGCAAGTTTATGTTGGTTAAAATGGTTCTTCATTTTAAATATTATATTGTTCTCTCATGAGTCTTTTTCACACCAGAAGTAATATATGTGCAGTGGGCATAGGAATTTGTTCATTTTTTTTCTAACTATAGTCCAGTCCACCAACAGTCTGAGGGACCGTGAACTGGTCCTCTGCCTAAAAAGGTTGGGGACTCCTGCCTTAGGGTCATTGTTAGGTCAGGAACAGGCATACACCAACCACAACAGTAACATTATAGCTTAAATGGTATAGGCAGGATATGTGGTACATGTGCTATCACCCTCCAATACCTGTTGGGTGACCTTGGGCAAGTCTTCACTTTTGAGATTAGGACCAGACTTGGGAATGTCTAACTTTCCAGGTGTTTAGGTTGACACGTACTCATAACTTTTACCTTTCATTATGCTGCCTGGGAGTTTCTGAGAGCTGAAGTCCAAAACATGCAAGCAGCCAAATGCTCCCTGCTCTAAGTTGATAGGTTGTTAGCCTGAAAGTATTTAAAAGGAAATGGATATGAACTGAATGTCTAATGCTTGCCATCCCTTCAACAAACTACAAAGGTTCTAATCAGTCCAGGGTTCTTCTTGTTAGAGGTTCCCAATTTTGACCATTTAAAAAAAAATCAGTTATTCTTCTCATCCCCAGTCTGGACAGTCAATTGCAGGAGATGATGTAGGGAACAGATTCTATGCAAATAGCTGGGCTTTTGGCCATTTAACAAAACTAATGTGCCATAAGAGAGTTTACCTTTATGCCTGTCCTTCAGTCTCTTCTAATCTTTTTCCTCTGATCTGGCATCCTGGTGTTTGGATCTAGATCCACTCAAATTTAGCACAATTCACTAAATGTAATGTTATGTAGTGGATATTGTGAATACTTAAAAATGCAGTAAAACACAAGCATATAATGCTTCTCTTTCTGTGGCCAAATTCAGCTGGCTGGGCCTACTGATGGAGCAGGGTCCACGAGAGAGCATTTTCCCCAAGTCTTGTAACTGCACCAACTTGGGAATTACTTTTTGCCAAAGGGACCTGCATCTAGCAGATCCTTTCCAAATACAACTACAACATTATCCAATTGCTTCCCTAGAGAACAGAAGTGAGGAACTTTGGGTGGCACAGGGACCACTTTTTAAATCTTGGCAACCCTGGGATCCCACCAGGGCTACCCTATAAAATGAAAAACCAAACTAAATCAGAACTTGTAAGAAGTCCACTTCTACTTTTGAGAAATATCTCTTTTAAAATGTTCAAAAGTGCATTGGGGATAAACTATAACTTACTTAAAAGTCCAGTCCATGGGCACTTTGGGGCAGACGGAAGTTCTAGATGCCCTCCCTGGCATAGATTTTGTCTTTTCCATCACTCCAGAGCCCAGCTGTGGTTTCTCTTGTGAAAGGCCCAGAAGAGAAACCTCAATTTACAGCATTCTTTCTCTTCTGAAATTGCAGTAATCATGATGGGGACAAGGAGAAAAGCACAAGTCCTTTAGACAGACAATAAATGGTTGAAGGATATCAATGAGTCAGTGCCTCCTCTCCCCAACTCACTTCAAAAGGAGGAAATTGTTTTTTGACAATCTGCTGTTGTGGTGCTGGTGCTGATGGGCGGGAAATCCCTCTAAGAGCAAGGAGTTTGTGTAGAAGGGGATAAGTTAACATTAAATGGGCATCCGGTGACAGGAAAGGAAATGGCGGGACAGCTGGAAATGCAGAAGGAGAGCTGAGAAAATCGATACAAGATAAGCGTTCCAGGGGTAGCGCTGTTCATCAGGTGACAAAGTTAAAGGCAGCAAGACGCTAAAAGGGAGAAAATATCACTGACCCCCTGCAATATTGATCAAACAGCTGAGACACCCAAGGCCAAACTCACCAATAAAGTGAGACGTATCAGCAAGAAGCCTATGAGAGCAGATTGAGCTGGTTTGCGAAGGTCTTAAAAATAGGGAGGAGGTGATGGTGGGGGGAAAAAGCTTAGCTGCAAGAGTTCTTGTTAACCATCTCCTTTGTCTTGTTGACTGTGAAACTGTAAAAGGCAGACTGCTGAAATCCAAATTCCCTGCATATGAAAACTCCTAATGAGCCAGTATCTGCCATGTAAAGGAGATACCTGTCCAGACTTGCTTAGCTGTGCCTCTGCAAGGAGGATAAACTCACCTGTGCTCATCACATGTAGATGATTTTGCCAGGGCCTTTCCCCCATCTCTTTCTAAAAAAGGTTCTCATTGCTTAACCAGGTTCTCCACTGCATGGTCCATCAGATGTGTTAAACTACAATTTCCATCACCCACAACTGGTATGGCTATTCATTATCACAGAGACCAACGCCTCTGCAGGGTGCTGTGCTGAAGGTTTGTTTCAGCAGTTTCAATAATTCAGGGTTTTTTTTCCCTTTCTTTTAAGAAGCAGATTATTGATGTTTGTAGATACCTTTAGACTCTGTACTTAATTGTTTTATGGGACCCTTTTAATCTGGAAATAGGATCACGCCTAGTTGTTAATTTAGTCCTGTGTTTGAGGACTCTCCTGTTTACTCTCCTAACTGAAATCCTAAGTACCCTCTTCACACTACATTGTTATAATGCTATGATTCCACTGCTATGACTATGATCTATGGGATCCTTAGCTTTTTAGTTTCATGAAGCACTATTACTCTATGGCTGGAAATTCTAAATATCCCTCCCTAAAGTGCAAAGCCTTTCCTGCTGAACAGCTGCTACTAGGATTCTCTGACATGTTGGTCCACCATGACATCTAATATGATGCCACTTTCATGGGGAGGAGTTGTTTTGGACTATAACTCCCAGCAAGGTTCTGTTGGTTTGGTGATTTTGGGAGCTGTAGTTTGAACAGTTCTTTCTCTATAATATGCAGGTGACATAAACCTTTAGACTCATTAGAAAGAAGCCCTTTTTGAGCACCCTTACTGATTTGGGTGGGATCTGATATATTTGGGCCCTTTTATGTTTTGCTGGGGATTTTTTTTAGTTATATAGAAATGTTAGAAGGAACAAAAAAGCATCCAAATTGAGGAACAGGAAGTAGGTGTTAGAAGACAAGTGTGTGGCCCCATAACTCTTTGAAGTTACCATTTCAAATGGATGTAGCTCATTTAAGTACACATGGGCTTTGTGGATCTTCCTAGCAGACAATGAGGGAAAGAGTTCAATATAACTATGGGGACATCATAATATGATGAGAAAGCCAAGCAGTGATAAGAAGAAGAGCTCTCCTGGCATGTTGTATTTTCTACTGATGATGACCGTGGTCTTATTTTCAGCCCTGCCTTTCAAACACATTAAGTGAAAGCAACACGGGCTTATCGCTCACACTTTGCTGGGCTGTCTTACAATTGGCCTTTTACATAGTCATTATTTATTAAGGCAACAATTTGTGTGAGAGTGATTTTTTTACCCCTCTTTATCACAGCTAAGATTCCCTGACTCAACAGAGAGGAAAAGTGGAAATACAATCTGCTAGCTCAGACTTAATCTATTATTAGTGCAACCCTATCTTCTGCCAAAGCTTGAGTGAGAGGATACAATTGCATAAAAGTGCCAATGCACCACTTCACACTTACACAACTACATTGGAGCTCTCTGTATTCTTGCAGCAGAAAGCAGTTATGTCTCACAACAATGGCTGCAGGATGATGCGGGTTACAGCTATGGGTGGGATGCGTGTGAATTTCATTTTAGTTTGTTTATGAAAATTACCAATTTGCCAAAGACCATAACATTATATTCAGGATGGGCAGATGTCTTCTTTTAATAGAATGTGGGAGAAACTGAAATTGAGAGATTTCTCTTCCAAGTGCAGAATATTGAGTCCTGAACCTTTTCATATCTTCGCTTGAATTCAAGGTCATATATGATTAATACTTTATTGTGATTATTATAATAATTATTAATTTGCATTCCTATCTTGCTTTGCCAATTGAAAAAATAGCACTCAAGGGAGCTAATAGCTATTTAAAATAGGCAGTGTTTTAGAATAATCTCTATGACAGAATTTAATCAGAAAACCCACCAAAATGAGTAATCAGTAAATGCTAASAGAGATGCATGGGCTGGTTGTCAGACCTGTGTCTGTACACCCTTCTAAAGAGCAYTAAGATTGGGGGCAAATGTGAGAGGAGTGTGTTCTGCTATCTCAGTGGTTCCCAAACMTATTTGGCCTACCCCCTGGAAATCAATTTTTCTAAATCTTCTCTTCTTTCTTTTATACTTTCACCARCCCCTTACAGTWATCGCCCCCAAATGCACCTGTGGCCATTACTGCCCCCCTGGATCACTGCAGCGCCCACCAGGGGGCGATAACGCCCCTTTGGGGATCACTGTGCTATCTGAAAGCAATCCAGGCAGAAGTCCATTGGTTTCCAGAAGTGATTGTATTATTAGAAGGATTTTTCATGAAGATCTTAATGTCTGGCCAAATTGGTATTCAACCTTGTTAGTGCTCATTTTCTCATCTTTAACACCTATGTGGTTGGCAGGCAAAACATTATGCCGGAAACATAATGACCCTAACTGATCCTGGTAAACAAAACCAGGTTTTTGTGTGTGTTAGGAGCGACTAGAGAAACTGCAAGTCGCTGCTGATGTGAGATAATTGGCTGTCTGTGAGGACATTGCCCAGGGGATATCCAGATGTTTTATCATCCTGTAGGAGGCTTCTCTCATGTCCCCGCATTAGAAGCTGGAGCTGACAGACGGGGGCTCACCCTGCTCCCTGGATTCGAACCACCAAGCTTTTGATCAGCAGTTCTTTCGCCACAAGGGTTTAACCCGCTGCGCCACTGGGGGCTCCTTAACAAAACCAGTAACCTGCAGATATTTTGTTCATTTGTAGAATGTGCCAAGAATCTCAAACAGCAAAATCCTTGCAGAAAGAACTTGATTTTACTTGTTTTTTTAAATCAAACATAGGATAGACTAAGGCTGAATATCCCTCTCAGTCATTGCTGCAGAGATACAGAAGGAAATAAGGTAGCTAGCTGATATATTGCCCGTGTTGCCAGAACCAGTGTCATTTGCCTGTTCTTTAAAATGTGGAAATCTATACAGTCCATGCATTCCATGTACATATGCATAGAATGGCAAATATTTTCATGTGTGCACTAAACTTACTATCCCCACTGCCTGAGTCTGGACTTGTTTAAAAATCTAAACTTAGGTAAGACAGTGCCAAATGATTTCATATTGCATTTTACTTATTTCTTGGAAATTTACACATTTAAATTTGTCAAACTTTTAGTTGGCTGGGGTTTTATGCTAACAGCAGGTCTAGAGAGTACTATGCTAACAGGTTTTTGCTAACAGTAGGTCTAGAGAGTACTATGCAATCATGATACAGAGTAAAAAAAGTTCACAGCACTAAGTGCTAGAGTCAGTATTATGTAACTTTATTGCAGTGTTATGTCTCCTTGAACCATTCATAAGCATATGAGGGCATTATATAAAGTGAACATGTATTCCTAAGTTTTCAACCCAAATAGTTCAACAGATTTCCCTGGTTAACCTACTCATTTCATGTACAAGGTGCACTCTGTAAGTACAGTGTGGTGTTTGGAGGAGAATTTGAGGGTAAAGGTGATCATCGGAAATTTGGAGCTTTGGGTGCTAAACCATTTGTGTGATGGAAAGATGCAATACAAGTCTTCAATGGACATCAAAAATATGGTGGTCATATTAGTGGTGCACAAGCAATTATATGGATGTATTTTAATTTGATTTATGTCTAACTGTAATTGTATAATTGTAATTGTTTGTGCTGGCATTGAATTTTGTCATTACCTATGTGTAAACCGCTTTGAGTCCCCTTCGGGGTGAGAAAAGCGGTATACAAATGTTGTAAATAAAATAATAATAAATAATATATTACAGAAATATCCAATGGCTGTCTAGATCCACTGTAGTGCTCACTCACTAAATCTAGCCTTAGCAAAAATTTGTAGCATTCCACCTGTCACAAACTGCCATGGAACAATATCATCTGTGTGTATTTTTTTTCAGAACATCATCCACCAGACTGGAACTACTGAAAAAAAAAGACTCTTTTCCTGAATTGAGCAAAAAACCTGTTGCRACTTTGTGAAACCCATTGGGCTGAGCAACATGATGCAGTTTTACATTTTGTTGAACTGTACAGTGTGGTGGTGAGAACACTTGAAGAACTAAAAGAGAGTCCTCTACTCAACAGTGAAACTTTTTCCCAAGCCTTCCTTTAGTTGGTTTAAATACCTTCTTTTAGCTGTTTTGAATGCTGAATTTGTAGTAACCATACAAATCCTATGAAAGCTGCAGTCATCACCCTTTCAGCTTAACAAAACATTACAAAGAGTAGATATGGACATTTTCTGTAGTCTGCAACATGTTGACAGTCTCTTAGAAAAAGCCAGGGAGATGCACACAGAATCTGTGAAAGAATTTCAGGAGAACTTTGACACTGCAAGGTGAGTGGTGGAGTCTATGGGCGGAGAAGTTACAATTCCTCACATTTGTTCAAGGCAGACAAATAAAAGTAACACCCAGGCAACTTCACCAACACCAATGGAATATTATAGGCTAAATGTGTGCATCCCATTTCTGGTCTTTTTCTGCAGTCAGTTTCAAAAAAATGTTTACAAGGCACAGGGAAGTAGTTCAGGAACTGCAAGTTTTCCTCCCTATTAATTGTGGCCGTTTAAAGTCCAACTTGAACAAGTGCACAGAACTTTACAATGAATGCCTTCAAAATACGGACACACTGATGGTGTAGAAAATGGAGCAAGATTACACTTGCAGAAAAACCATCAAATGCACTGGAAGCATTTTCTTCATGAAGTTTCTTCACATTTTTTTCCCAAATGTGAAGAAACTTCTTGAGATTTCTGCAACATTGCCAGTGTCAACAGCTTCAAATGAAATGCCATTTTCAACTCTTAAATATAAGAAGCACAATGGGGCAAGAAAGATTGACTGGACTTACACTCTTGATTGTCCACTGAAGTTTATCAATGGAGACTGATTTCTGTGAAAGCGTATTGACACAGTTTTCAAGTGTTTCCAAAAAGCATTGTGGTATTCTTTTGTAACCAATAAATTACCAATTAAGAGTCATTTTCAGGTTTTATGTAGCTAAAATAGAAATTTGATTTAATTAAGTGTACAAAAATATCGAATTATTTGTATAATTTAAATTATTTTGTTATGGACCACTCTTCGTGATTTGCTAAAAAAAATCAAAATTGTTCCCCTTCCCCCATTTTTTTCATGGCTATGGAACTGAGGGAGGGCAGGGTCTTGGGTGGCCATGCTCACCCATGTTGATGTTAATTTGGCATGGCTAGGTGAGGTCTTGGCCCCTGGTGTGGCCTCCAAATTTGCGTGAAAACACAGATTTCATACAAATTTGGACCAGTGTACAAAGACCTTCAGAGGAAGGCAATGGTAAACCTACTGAATAAATCTTGCCAAGAATACCATATGATAGCCTTAGCATAAGTTGGAGTTACATGCTAACAAAAAGATTTTTTCCAGTGGCTGATAACGAAGGGTCTCTGGGTAAATTAGAGGTGGCTTTGGATTTTTGGAACACAATTAGCATTTTAGTATGAGTTTAAATCCTTGCACAGCCATGAAACTCACTTGTTGACCTTGGGCAAGTACCACTCTCTTAGCTTTAGAAAGGAAAACGTCTTATAAATAAATATTGCCAAGAAAACATTGTTAAATGCCTTAGGGTCACCAAAAATCAGAACCAACATCCCCAACAAATTACATTTAGTAAGCCATGTAGAGAATTCCAAGTGACCTATTTTTTTAAAAAAAAACTATTAAAATTAATAATTGACTAATACTAGAAGTTCATCGTATTCTTATTTCACAGTGATATTAGAGAAGGTGCCAATTTTAACTACCCCCTTTTATTTCTGGTTTGGGCCAGAAAGTCAGTTCTGTTCATCTGCTGCTGCTACTATTATCAAAGGTATTTATTTATCTTGCTACTTCTTACCCTAATGAAAAGCAGTAGTTTCCCTTGACTCGCATGGAAGGAGCATGTGGATCTGGGCAACGTTTGTGTCTTTGAGAGACCCAAGTTGTCGGATAACGGATGATGTGCCACTGCCTCAGCACCTCGGAGCGTTGTTAGATCAGCACTCTGCCCGCCTGTTGGTATGGTAACGGCCCTTTATTTAGTGGGACACGCCATCCATATCGCTGTCTGGCTATTTGTACTTGTCTAATTATTATTACTCTTTGCATTTTCTTCCAGTGGATGAGTAATGGAGGAGGGTTAGAACGAAGGGTAGGTGCAGAGGGAAGAGAGCAGTGATTTGTGGAATAGGTATCTCGTCTCTGAGAGGAGAACATTTATCTTGTTGAGGCTCAGGTACAAGCAGAAAGCTGTGGAGAGGAATCGTATGTGTACACATGCATGCACAAGCTGTGTGTGTGTCCCCTTACATGCCTACATATTACACTTCTATGATTGATATTCTCTTTGGATGAAGCAATTAAATCTTCTGGTGGGACACAATCCATGTTTACACACTTTTTATCCATTCCATAGGGTCTTGCACAAACTAACACCCCTATTTACCTGGATATGTATAGGATTCATTTGCATTCTAATCAAGTTGCAATCCTGGAATAAATGTAGGCATGTGATTTTCAAACAATATTCCATTTTTATCGCATGGCAAACCATTTTTAAAACTAAGGTGAGCTTCATGAGTAGGTTATGATTTATACAGTTTTGACAAAATGTATTGTAAGTAATGATGTTACCCTATAACATGTTGCCAAGGCAGGAGATAATATAGTTCGACATAACAACTGGTAACTTCAATACTGTTTTTTGACCCAACAAGTAGCATTTACTTCTCAGTTCTAAAATGTTTGGATGGTTTGGGGTTATTTTTGTATTCTTATAGTTTTATTCTTTCAAAACTTACAAAGCCAGTCAGGAATAACACATCACATGCTACAAGTTCGTATCATATTCTTTGTTGGTTTTCTCTGACTTTTCTTTCTATTGGTTCTGCTAGCTAACTACAGCAAGCAAGGGTGGGCAAAGTGTGATCTGAAGTTGCATGCGGTCTCCCTTATTTGGTGTTACCTTTTCTAACCCACTGTAGTAAACTGTGGTTCATGCCTTACAGAACTGGAAGAGGATCCAAAGATTAATCTTTTCCATCCCATTCTAAACTAGCTTGTTTGTGTTTTGTGGAGGAGATTACCTCAGCCCAAGTATTAAAGTAAGATTCAACTGCAACTATCTTGTCTGTCTCAGACATCAAAATATTTTAGGCAGGACATGTGCCTGTGTGTGCACACATTTTCACTGCAAATTATGTGTGTGTGAAATTAAAGACTACAGATCTCATCTTGGGAGCTAAGCAGAGTCACAACTGGTTAGCCGTTGAATGGTGGATAGCCAAGGAATACTAGATGCTTTAGGCTATATTTCAGACGAAGGTCAAGGCAAACCACCTCTGAGTATTCCTTGCCAAAAGGTGCATCTACACTGTAGACTTAATGCAATTTGACACAGTTTTGATGGCTATGTCTGAATGCTGTGGAGTCATGGGAGATGTAGTTTACAAGTTCTTTAGACCTCTCTGCCAGAGAGTGCTGGTGCTTCAAATTACAAATCCCATGATTCCATAGCATTAAGCCATCACGAAGTGATACCAACTGCATTAATTCTACAGTGCAGATGCACCTTAAGAAAACCCAATGAAATTAATGGAGTTGACATAAGACAGGCAATTTGAAAGCATGCAGCCACAGATCTCACACGTGGGATGCACATTTTTCAGGCTCAGGTTGAACGTGATTCCCAAATAAATGGGAATAGATTGTGCTAAAGCAAGTTGGCTTGGGTCAACCTTATTAAGTTCCTCTGTGTATGATACAAAAGAGCAGTTGTGTTGAAGCATCTCTTTATATACAAGTGAAATGATGGATGCTCCATGGATGCTCAGCTCTTAGCCTGCTTTTATAGGCCTGGAAAAATAGAATACGGCACATTTGGCTTCTTATTGATTCTAGATGGTCATTATTTCCTATTATGTAAGTGTGACAATTATTGTATGAAAGAAAATTGAATGAGTGGAAGAATGAAGGTGTGTGTGTGTGTGTCTTCTGTGACCTCATCACAGCAAATAGGTACAGAAATAAGGGTCTGCCAAATATCAGAAATAGCTATTAGGAAAAGATTTTTTTAAAACCAATTCAAAAAATAGAAACAGAACCACTACGGCACAAAGTGAAGAGACTGGGCTGTGAACCAAGATCTTTCTGCTTTGAATTTGAGTTATCACAAGGCAGACTGCTCCCACAGTTTTAACCTCCCATCACTAAAGTGGTACCCTATGCCACAGGGAATATGTTCCTGGGCCTACCATGGAAATGCAAAACTGTGGATAATAGTGAACCCTATAAATTGAATGACTTCTGGAGAAAGCATACCATAGAATGATGTTAAAGAACCTAGAGACAACCTATATCTTTGGATGTGTGTAAGTGAAACCGTGGGTACAAGTCCCATGAATACTGGGTTCACACTGTAATACCAGGAGAATAACTCTGATTTTTGTAACACAAAATACTGGTGATATTCCTATGCAAGAAAATCCTGGTTTTTCACTGAAAGAACAACCTTGCTCAAGTGCTACATATCTCACCTTCTCCTTCCTTCTCTGGTGTGGCCAAGATTTCAGAAGCTTGTACTTCTGCATTACTCTAACCAGTTTGCCCTGAGCAAAGTCAAAATGTGTGGAGTCTTATTGATTATTCAAAAAAGCCAATTTCAGTTTGTAAGTCTGACTTCTTCAATCAAAAATAGAATAATGGAACCATAGAATTGCCATCCAGGCCATCTTCCCATGCAGGAATACACAACAAAAGCATCCAACCTCTGTTTAAAGACTTCAAAAGAAGGAGAGGTAATCATCCTTCAAGGTAGTCTATGCCAAATACTAACTATAGTTTTAGATAGTGAAGTAAATTTCCACTTGTGTCTTTTTTCACTACTCATTGGGTGGGTCGGTGAGAGATTTTTTTGCATTTTGCATTTTGCAAGCTATTTACACTTGTGAACTGAATGTTTAAAATCAAATTGTTCAAATGATGTTTGTACTGCCTGTGACCCTTGCTGCCTAGTTGCATAGTTTTTCAAAAATATATGCATTTAATGGAGTGTGTGTGTTTTTTTTTAAAAAAATCAATAATTCTGTGTTTCTATGCTTGCTGTGTGCTTTGCTTAATAAAGAGGAAAGGTGGTAGTTTTTCATGGATGTACTGTTTCACTCTACAAAATGCAGAGAAACAGATCAGGGTAAAAGTGCCCTTTTCTCTCATAGGAGGTGACAAGCTGGGCTGCAGCTGGTGACTTCTGATGGGATTTCCCAAAGTGTCCATTTGAATCAAGGGCAAAAAATGCAAGTTTTCTCTATATTTGTCATTTTGGGTTCAGACATGACTATTAAGAATTAAACATTAAGGAGGAAGCTGCTGGATTTTTCATTGACCACACTAAAGGAGAAGCGAGAAAATAGGCAAGTCCAAGATTTCTAAAGGCTTATCCTTGTAATGTTAAACCAGAACTTGATTTTTTTTATTTTTACAGTTTTGCACTAAAACTTCCAGAAAGCTCAAGCCAGGGATTCTAGGAGCTGTATTCTAAAACACTACATTCCCCATGCTCTGTGATAAATTCTGCCACCATAGATGCTCCTTGTGTAAGACAGACAATCCACATGGTAAGTCAGTCCTTGCACTGTACATATTATTGTACATTGTTATGACTCATCTGAAACTCATCTGAGGAATCTGAAACAGAGGACTGAGACATATAATATCCTTTATTTCCAAAGGCAATACCCCAGACCCCAGATCTGAGCAGATAGTGGCAGATGCAGCAGATGACTGGACTAAAACTGGACTAAAACTGAGGGACATTAAGGAGACATCCATATAATTTGTGGAATATGGTTAGGATAAAGAAGCCAATGCCTCTTAAATAGGAAATCTAGTGTTTCAAGGTCAGTGACTGATGGGTATTGTTGTTTGCAACTGTTTATTCTCACTGGCTTTTGTCTGCTCCCTGCTCA